CGTGACGCGGACGAAATTTCTGACGGACGGAAGTCCGATATGTTTCAAAAAAATTATAAATTATAAATTATATGTTGGTCCAGATGACGATCGAACCCACGACCCGTCGACAATTAGCCATACATTGCCAGTTTGTAGTCTATGCAAAAATGCGCTATATTGTGAGTATTGTCTGTTCACGAAATTACAACAGATTATAAACTCTCTTCAGTTGATATCTATAGATATAAATCAAGCCTGCAATTCGATTTTTCATAGTCAAGGTTTACACAACACATGCGTTACTCCTTCCGCATATTGATACGTCTGCGCGTTCCTATTGTTACAGACAAGAACGTGTGGGATGAACCGTGAAACAATCTTTGTTTGCGACACATTTCCTATGTCCACACCATTATCATACTATTATTTGTCGTTCGAACTTTTTCGTGCTTGTGATATTAGGACCCTTACCGACTTATCTCAAACCGAATTTCAGCTTCAATAACTTATTATTGATGTTGTACCCAAGTGTTAAGCACTAGAGGTTCTAGGTTTAATCCAGGTAACCTACGTCAATCGAGAAAAGTGGACTTGTTGATTTCAGTCACTTAATTTGCTTGTTGTTGTGTAGTTTTATGTTTTTAATTAAATAAACGTTGGAACATTACAACATGTTGTGTGTAATATACAAGCTTTCAATTGTTGTTATAAATATAAGTTTAAATAAAACACTCTAACGGTTTAAAACGCGATATATATTGGTTAAACTTATTTGAAAATTATTTCAACTATGGCCTGACGTTTCGTTAGCTTTGCAGTAGCCGTAGTCACAGGGAGACTAAAGATGGAGGGATGGATGTAAAGCGCGTTTTAAACAGTTACAGTGTTTTATTTAAATGTGCGCGTTAACTAGCGTAAACTGTCTGTAGTTTACGCTAGTTAACGCACTCGGTACGGTATAAAATATAAGTTGTTAAGTAATTAGTGATTACCAAATATACATTTAAATTAAATGGAAAGGAAATCGAGAGGTGATTTATTAGTGTCATAATGGTTCCGACTGCTAAAAGTAATTCTAAGCACTAGCCTCTAAGTAACAGAATCCCGTTAGGTTAGGTATCACGTTCAGGTTTATTGGAAAGCGAGTTGCTTGGAGCGTGGCCGGTGGTCGAGCGTTGCATCTCTTTCTTCCTGCAAATAATTGAAAAGTCCAATACCCTATTTCACAAAGAAATGATGATGTTGATTATGGATTACCGACTGTTAAACACATTTTTGACAGTAGTCTGCTGCAAGGCATAGACCACGAAGGGCCGTAGTTAAAATAGATACAAAATTAAATTTTCGCGTTTTAAACCGTTTGAAATGTTGAAAACATGAATCTTTATCACATATCATTACACATGATGGAACTGAATAAATTAAAAATCGTGTCACGTTAGCTCAATTGGTTAGAACAACAGCACGGTACACTGTAGATGTTGGTTTAAGGGTTTAAAATTTAAATCGACATCTACAGCGTTGCGTGCTCGTGCCGGTATTCGTAATTTTTTATAATATAACATTGATTTTTAATTCGTTATAAGTTTTTTATTAGGTGGTAATTTAAAGACAGTATTTTTCAAATCCTTAATAATTTTTTAGTGCAAATGAGCCTAAATAGCTAAGTAGGCAAGTTCAATTGCTCGTTAAACGCTTATTTTCTAATTTAACTAAATTATTCACTAGGTCGATTAGCCTACTAATTTGACTCGCATCACCTTAAACGGTGAATACGGTCATTAACTCATTACATGATGTAAACGTGATTAAAAAGATGGCTGTCTTATGTCATTACCCACCTAATATTTTAATGAACATATAGCTCCTTGGCTCAGTGGTAAACTTTGGTAAACGCGAGCGGCAGGCCTGGATTTGGCAAATCTACTAATATATGTTATAATCTTGATGCGTGTTTCCCCTTTGTCCTTTCCAAGGTTTCGGGTTTATTTACGCTTATTTAGGTTTAATTTAATTCAGTATTACAGTTTTCGTTTTCAACATTCTTTGTTATTACATAACATCTATATAATGACCGCCTCTGTAGCCGAATGGTTAAACGTATTGCCTATCATTGCGTTGACCGCGAGAGGTTCGAATCTCAGGGAAACAAAAAACAATTGTTTCGGTCGGGCAGGGCATAGAAGTCCGAACGAGCCCGTTAAAAGAACGGATCAATGAAACGGGACATGAATGTGTTCGTCCCATGCCCCACGAGGGGGAAACGGGCTTTCACTTTTTTATATAACACAATATGCCTTATTGAAAACAAGTTAATGTCTTAGAGATAATATGCAACCTATGTATTATAGATACTATGTCTCGTTTATCTCCGTACTAGTTATTATAACTGTGTGACGGTAGATAAATATATTACTGAATATTTGAGTCGTTTTGAAAGGAAATGAATATTTGCAAAACAAAATGGACATAACACTTACGCTGTATATCAGTTATTACAAAAAATATATAAATATATGTTAATAAATACATTAGCTACTAACTGAATTGATAGAATATTAATTATGACCACATTAAATTATCAAAATGATGACGATTATCTTGTCAAAAAGATAACGATTTGGGGGGGGGGAGCCGTTTCGTGACTTGCACTGAACTTTTTTATTTGTTTTGTCTAAGATACCGTACAGGACCTACTTTTTCGAATGACGACCACGAATTTGACGCATTGCTAAAAATGATAAGTATTAAATACAGTCTGTAGTCTATGCGAGTAGTACACATTTAAATAGAACAATTTAAGTGTTTAAAACGCGATATATATTACTACGGGATAACTAATATATATCGCGTTTCAAACAGTCTTTTACTTAAATGTTAAGTATTGTCTGTCCGTACGAATGGTGCAAACAAAATAAACTTTTAACAGTTTTAAATTTGCAATATATTAGTTTACTTAATAATTATCTACGACCCTACGTTTCGTGGCCACGGGAAGGCGTAACAGATCGCTGCAGAAAATATCAACAATTTCATTTCGCGTAGAACCATTAAAAATGTTATTAATCTCTACAGCTCTAGTTATTTTTAAAATAAATTGTATTGCATGCTCAATACAGTTAACAGCTGCCTAGAATGGCATTGCGTGTAACCCTGGCTCTTAATGGTCAAGTGACACAGATTTTGATCTCACTTCTAGTATTCTTGGGGGATTTATAACGCTGTACTAGATGTGCCCGCGACTTTGTCCGCTTGGAATTGTCATTTTAGGCATGCAAATGTATTTTTTCAAACCTCACACATTTTTTTACCACATTTTCCATCGTTTCTTCAGCATGTTTAATACCTTCCTTGCTAAAGGTCTATCCAACACAAAAAGATTTACAATTCGAAAAATTAGTTCCTGAGATTAGCGCGTTTAAACAAACAAACTCTTCAGCTTTATAATATTAGTATACATGCGTCTAATTGAATGGTTCACAGCACAGAATACGTAAGTCTAGATTCGCACTTGACTGATTATAAACATTGTTTAGCATTCCTTATCTAGAATGAATGGTATGAAAATAAAGGCATAAAGGTTATATACATAAACCTTTTTTTACGTAACACGATACTATTGTTGAAAAATCGAAAATAAATTTGAAAATGATTTTAATTACGGCCCGACGTTTCGGAGGCTTTGCAGCAGCCGTGGTCACGGGGAGACGCGTTTTAAACCGTTATAGTGTTTTATTTAAATGTGTACTACTCGCGTAAACTATAGACAGTATTTGTTTATCATATTTATATAAATATTTGGAACATGCTAAGTAACGCGAAATCATATTACGGAAGTACATAAAAGTTATAAAATATTGTCTTAACTTTCGAAACGTCGCCGGATGGTAAAATACACATCGTTACGTAGTTGTGGCGGTTAACTCATTTAAGAGGCTAGATATGGTTGATTACATATTTGCGAAGTTATATGTTGTGCGGGAACAAGTGTGCGCGGACGCAGCCGCTAACCGGCAGAGGTGCATGGAACCGGCACTTTCACTATTGATGGTGCGACAGCAGCGACTGTCCCGCTGCTAACGCAGTGCAGCCGCGCCTCCGCGGCCGACCGCACCGGTCTTCTCTCGCGCTGATCTTGTCAATCGATCGATCGAAATCCTGCGCCAGTTAAATGCATCATCGGTGCCTGCGTCGGCTTACCTCCTGAAGCTCTGTTACATTGGTCGTGCTGTGAAAATATTTAAATAGTTTTAGCGTAGACTTTTATCTCCTCAGTGTCCTTGAAAGCCATTTTCGTGAATATTTGTGGCAGTGAGACTTTGTGCCAATACTGGATTTTAATGACACCTGTTCACCTATCGTGCAAAATATAACCGATTGCATAGATATATTTATGACTGCAGCCTGACCTTCAAGAGAAAATATAAAAAAATAAACGCAGAACTATTTTACATTGTATGACAATGTTGTCGATGGTTTGCGACATTAGTTTTGTTCTGTAGTTCGTTTATCAAGTACATTTCAGCATTATTCGTGTCTTATCTATCGCGAATATATGTTGAAATTGCAAACTCTGCGGACATTTATTTAAGAATACGTTATAAAAGGCTACAGAATTTATTTGTGAAAATAATGCGGTGTCATTAGACAAGAAAGTGTTAAAATTTGCGAAGACGCGAGTTATAAGGAAATCCGCACGTGACGCCCAGTGCGACGATCACTGTAAATAAATAATGACCTAATTGTACCTTACGTCTCGGCTATTTCGGTGATCATATGATACACCGGTGTTTGGATAACTAGCAGTCTTCGGTGAGCAGGAAAAGGTTACACAAGTACTCCGCGCGAGAAATTGGATCGCAAAACCTGCTATCGAAGATAGCTAAGGCTTAAACCCTTTCTCCGTGTCTGTGGAACGCAATTCAGTGTATTTGAACGATCTGCTCTCGTGCTTTTAACGCGAGTGATGTATTCCGTGATAAAATGACATTAGTATAAGTGCCATGTTTTGTGCTAAGATGCCGCAGTACGACGAAAGTTTTATTCATGATGATAACTTAAATCAGAGACGCAATAAACGCAGTTATCGTGTTTACAAAAATGGCGTGTCTCCGTGTGTTATTAGTGAGACACATAAAGGCTTTGATGGCAGAGGAGACAAAAAGCACGTTAGACATTTAAAACACAGAGGCAATCGGTATAAAGTCGAGAAATCGCCGCCTATACAAGAAGGCGACTACATCCAGTACAAAACACCGGATATTTTAATTCACTGTCCTAGAATTAGTGTTTTCGATCCTAACAAGTTGAGTGATATAAGGAACAATAATGTTACATTGACGCCTTGCAAAAGTTTTGATAATCTGACATTGAAGCAGTCCAAGAAGGATAGTTTATTAAATGTGACATTAAGGAACGGCAAGAGTTTGCAAAATTTATCGCGCGATGAGAGCCTCAAGCATTACGTTTCACCTACGGAAGAGAGATATTCTTCGAAGAAAGGAGATGTCAGAAATTCCTATTCCATCGAAGAAGCTCGCCGAAGACCGGCGCAGAGGAGGTGTTCTCGCAGTACCGCTGTTCCCGGAGTCGGTGTTTATAGAAAAATCAACGGAGATGTCGACTCTGCACAAGGTTGGCTTAATTACGTTAAAGATTTAATTATAAATAACTATGACTTTGGATATTATAGTGACTATTGGTAGAGTAAAACTTCTTTTACTTTTAAGTTGCGTCAAATTTTATCTATTAGTATCAGCTAAAAAAACACCTCCTATTTAACAATACTAAGAGACATTTTTTCTTATATCTTTCACATAAAACGCGTCAGGCAAGCAATTTGTATTGATTTATTAAAGCATAGATTCTCCTTTGACCTTAAAACAGTAGGAACTTATAAGATTCAATCAAAAACGTGATTCGAATACATTATTTAATTCTCATGGCTCTGTTTCAACGCTGAAGTATCAAATTTAATCGCATTCCACGAATAGACGAAAGGTCATCCAGTTTAGAGACTGTCGACTCGCAAAACGGAAGTAATGAAACTGTCTTCCTTGTAAAAGTGTTCGCATCGTGGAAATGCACATAATAGGTTCGCTGATATTGTATAATAAGATGTAAGAGACGCGGGAACCCACCATTGTACCCATTGTTACAATAATGTTAAGGCCGTTAGCGAAACCATTCTGTTTTATACAAGTTATTGTTTAGTCTCGCCTTGTTTATAGGAAAATTTAATCAATACTTGCCGAATAAATGTTGATTGTTACTTCAAAGTCTTGTATGTGTATTAACGATTAATTTAAAGGGATTTTGAAATCCTTAAGGTACAATCAGGAAATTCATTGACACTCCACTCGCATATATTTGCTCTATCTATATCTTTCTATCACTTCTCATAAATATTGATCAATTTCCCTCAAAACACTTTCTGAACCCTACATAACTATCCAATCTTTAAGTACAATGTATATTAATGAAGCACGTCCTAAAACTCTCATAAGAAATGTGTCCAAAACTAAATTAACTAAAGCCACGATATTAAAGACATTCATAAAATTTTGAGCAGTTTCTGCGAGTTAGACAGGGGACTTTTCTCAAACGTGTAACAGAACATCGATCACGTATTTAATGTCTGTTGTATGTTTATGTTGTGCCTGTGTGATGACGCACTAGAGGCCAGGAAGCGGGCATGACCTGGCGTCCGTCCGGCGCGGGACGGTGTGTCCTCGTGCTCAGTAGGCTGTCTCAGTCGTCACGCGCCACTCCTGGTCGCGTCCTGCCGTCGCCTTCGCGTGTATTTATAAACGCGCGCGTCATCAGTGATAAACTTGTGTTTACTTTTTTGTGTCTCTAACTAGAATCTGGCGCGGATTCACAGTTAAAACTTTTGAGGTAATCTATACTAATATTGTAAAGCTGAAGAGTTTTGAACGCGCTGATCTCAGTAACGCCATTACGGTTCGAATTGAAAGATTACTGTTGTGTATTTTACGGAAAACAAAACATAATCGGATCGTCATTGTTGTTGATGTCCAAGTTTAAATTACCATTTAATTACTACTACAGGATCATTAAATAGAAAGTATACGTGATTAATGGCATTTTGTGGGCATTTCGTTACCTAATAAGTGTTATTACATCATTTATTGATGTACAAAAGCGTACATGGTGTTGGCGTGATGTGTTCAGTGTCCTTACGTCATAGTTATTTCTCATAAATATCAGAGGTCTGTGGTGCCGTATTCGGCTTATTATCCAACATGTTTTACCGTTGTGCGTGTATTGTGTACTGGGATCGTCTATGTGCAATTGTGTTTTGCGGTTAACGATAATTTATAATAATGTTTAAAGATATTGTTATTTTTAAATAGTTTTTCGATTTGCGATTATTTTTTGTGTTTACTTGAATATCGAGGAACGATTTCATAGCTACAATTTTTCTTTGTGCGATCCACGTATTTCCAATAGTGTGAATAACTTTCATTCTAATTGTGTAAGTTTATTTTTTTGTGGACAATATTAAGAGACATCAACTACTTCATACATCCATAATTATTAACTTATAAAAGTTGGGAGAACATCCGTACCAACCGGTCTAACTTGATATAAACAATCCAGGTATATCTTAATTCGTTTGTTTCAGACAACGAAGCTTGTGCTGAAGGCGGTTCGGGTCACCGGGGGTCCTTGCGCGGCGCCAATAAATTAGCCCGGCGCGCGCGCTCCTTCAAGGACGATCTGCTCGAGCGCATATCCAATATGCGTTCTCCTGCGCAGCATCCGCCCCATCTCTCCTCGAATATCAGGTCAGCAGAACACTATCGCACCACGTCCGTTGATAAGCACGGATGATATTTATATGTGTCAAACGCCCTATATTTTTACAACGATTCTGTCGCGTAGTTTTTTTTTCTATACTAATATTGTAAAGCTGAACAGCACAAGTAAGGCAAACATCAGATATAAAACATCAGGGTGCGACACATAGGAGCGAAGAAACGGAAGTAAATGTTGAAAGAACTGGAAAAATTAATCATCTGTGCGGGACACCGTTGCCTGAGATGCAAAAATAGTTAAAGATATCAAAATTAATATGTGTAAAAGAATTATTCTTCTTTAAATTATAAAAAAAAACTTGACTTTAGTTTCACTTGAATTAGCTTAAAAAAAAGACGAATTTTGTAATTTAAAAATAAAAGATGTCGACTTGAGCGGGACTTGAACGGACATTGTCAGCGTTCCGTGTTGTTGCTATATATTATAAGTTAAGCGCCGATACTTAACTACTAACGCTTAGGCGTTAACACAAAAAGCATCTGTCTAGGATATATTATAAGCGACTAGGTACGAAGCAATAATTTTTTAAGTTGTAATTACTCCATTTAAAGTCTAATCAAAATATGCTGTCTACATTTTTTTTCTTCGTATATTCAGATATTGTGCAATTCGTCTATCAGAATAATTTTTATATGGCATGGTATATAATATATCTGTTATATACCATGTCATATTACATATGTGTAGGTAAATATCAAACCCCGATAAGTCACACCCATACTCGAAACTGAACTATGAATGGCGCTAAATTTGAAATTTACTTGTTTTTATGATACTTTATTCCAAATCACGGTAAGTCCCCAAAAAACTCACTAAAACGAAGGTTAAAATCGACGATTTATTTCAAACTCCGGTATGTCTATAGATAAGTTAAAATCAAACTCAAGTAAGTCCACATTGACCAATCACAGCAAATTATAGCGTCCAAGATGGCTGTTAGTTAGAAGATTGTTGTGAGAACTTACACTTCGTTGTCATCTATTTTATTAGATTGTTTGGGGAAAATGCATGATAACAATGTAAGAATTTGTGTGCTGAATCCTGAAAAAGCAAAGAAGATGTATGTGTCAAATGTTAAGAAGAATAATGTCGAAAAGAAGGCTAAAAAGTAAAGCAAATCCTAACGTAATAGTGCGTTTGTTGCAACCGTTAACGTTTTGAAAACCAGGGTTGTACAAATGTTAAGAATTAAACATTTGAATTTATATTTCTTTTTTTTCTATTAAAATGTATGTATGTGTGTGTGTATCATTTAAAAGGTTCTTTCCATTTTGAGATAAGTAAATATTGTAAACGTATTATCGTTACGCGTTCAAATGACAAAATTAAAGTAACTGGCGAAATTTCGTATAGAAACGATTTTGGAAATAGTGCTTCGTTATTAGAAAAAGGAAAAAGTATGATCAATATTCATACTCAAATGATTGACATAGTTCCTTCTATAAAATTAGAAGATATAAAAAAAATATTTCATAAACATTTTGGCACTGACTGGTATTACATCCCTCAGTTGAAATATTATACAAATATCTTGCAAAGATAGAACTAGTTGGTGACAGGGAAGAAGACATAATAAATAATTCCGAATACTATGTCATGGACGAGATCTTAGATTTTGTTTTATTAATCTACTAAATTAAACTACTACATGGTAATAAAAAAATCTGTGTTTTATTTTACGGTTTAGTAAAATATTATGATGAAGCAACCCTAATTACGGGATTAATATAGGATTTGTCAAAACCAAGTAAGTCCTGTAGCTATTTTTCAATACCCGTTACGTCCATAGTGGTATTTTTCAAACTCCGATATAATGCCTCTAGTTCCGATCAAACATAGATATGTCCAAACTTTAACATGGTTTTAAAGCGTAATATCTTATTAAGACTTTATTTTTATACATCCTTCTACTCACTAACGCCTATATAAATCCCCAATTGCTAAAATTTCCATGAAATACTTTTATCAGTAGCTAAAAACACATTTCTCTCATTTCCCAAGTTTCGTTTGTGGTGGACATACCGTGATTTGATATTTGCCTACACATATACGATATAATACTAAAAAAAACATTTATAATCGGAAAAACGGGTCCATTTCAGTTTTTAAAATAAAATAAAATATACTTTATTCTCTTTAAAATTATAAAAATTATTTAGATTCGTCAAAAATGTTTTTTTGTTTGTCTGTCTGTTTGTCGTGATTCTACAGAGATTTTCGTTTGATCTTATTATTTGTAACTTTCTAAATAACTTTCTTATAAAAACGAAGTCAATCGCTATTTTGTTAATGATTCCATTCATACAGACAGAAAGTGGTCCAGAAAACTTCCGACTTTTCACGCTCGATCGACTTATCGTGCTCAATATTTTTTCGTTAACACGAGCTTATATTTCGTTAGTAAATGCAGTTGTTAGACTGTTAAAAAAACATCTAGACCAATAAGTTTAACTAATATATCGCGTTTTAAACCGTTAAAGTGTTTTGTTTAAACATAATTTTAATTATTCCATTCTAGTAGGTATAGAAGACCAGCGTACGGCTGTTATTTTGTTTGCGTTCAGAAATTATGGTTATGTTAAATGGTTAAATGTGTTGCTTAGCATTGGATTGAGCGAGAGAGGTCCTGGGTTTGAATTCTTGGGAAACAATCAATTAAATTTTGTCTATAGTTTACGCGAGTAGTACTTATTTAAATAAAACATTTTAACAGTTTATAACGCGATACATTAGTTAAACTTATTTGAAAATGATTTTTAACTTTGTCCACGACGGCCAAGTCCCCGACGGAGAGGTCTCCCCGTTTTAAACCGTTAAAGTGTTTTATTTAAAAGAAAGAATCAATTGTTTCGGTCGGGCAGAATACAGATCTCTGATCAGACTTTCCTGTGAATAAAACCAATCAGTGAAACGGACACAGCAATGTGCCCCATGCCCCACGAGAGGAAACAGGATTTAATTAAATACTATTAAATTTTTCTATTACTATTTCGAGTGTTTTGTTATAATGGTGATTTGTAAAACAAACACATTGTATCTTAATCACTGCGTGATTCATATTATTGTAATCTCATTCATGTCTAATTATGCTGGATTAGCACTTACTATAAGCCTTTGTGTTTGTTTTATCTTGTTAATATAATATGTAATATACAAAGTTCATATGCAATTAATTAAGTATACATATTGCTATAATTGCCTTTCTATCGTTATGATCGTTTATAAGGGTTCGCCGAAATTCTAATGACATTAGTTTTAACCGAATGATCCGGTTTCGGCTTCGACGATATTCGGTTTTAACCTCATTTAATATTTAACGTAGCTGGTGTAATACGTGATGATTTGTATGATCATGCACAAAGGAAAATCTACATGTGTAATTGTTACAATATTGTAAAAATTATTGAATTTAGGGCAAGCGAAAGTTAATTAAAGTAGTAAAAATTAGAAAATTTTACACATTGAGCAATATCCCGTCATACTTAAATAAAAAAAAACAAGAATTTTAACTCACATATGATTTATAAAGATAAAGTTTTTAATTAAAATTCGGTTTTATATTCTAGAGTTTTGTTGCTCCATGATCGAATCGAAACCGAATTCACATCGAATGTAGGTTTCGGTTCAATTCACATCCCTCGTCTTTAATTAGAGAACCGAGATCACTATTTCGGCATTCTCCGCGTATTTTGTAATGGAATCTTATCCGTATTGTGTGCGTATAAAATCCACAAGTCGGTTATTGTCTCTTATCTAAATTGATAAATATAGTCCGTTGAATACATAACTCTACTATCTCACTGGCAGCAACTCAAGACAGTGTCATTTCATTTGAACAGTTTTATCTCAACCCTACACCGAAAACGATATCATATTATACGCGTTATATAAGAATTTCATATAGTTCCAGTTCAAAATGTGCAATTAGTGTGTTTTTTATGTAGAATCGCGTAGTGACAGTGATTATGAGTCACAAGCGACTCGCGCGCATAAAGCGACACTGAAATCTCATTAGTACTGTGCGTGTAATGTGAAATAATTACATTTTAATGTTTACGCCGTGTCTGTGGTTATAGTGGGTTTCTTTTGATTCTCTATGCGTTTGTGCTAAGGCGCAATTTAGTGCGGCTTCGTTCAGTATTGAAGATGTCGAACAGAGTCAGGTCCCCTGTCGGAGAATGGATTAACAAACGTACGAACAAACTCCAACGTTTCGCGTACAATGGAAAACGGTAAATAAATCATTTTAATTCATCTGAGTTGACCTGAGTATTGACATGCCGCAGGCTCAGTCAGTAGGAAAATTGTGAAAATTTTCCTTTTGTATGCTACAATTTTATCTTTGTAAACAGTACTGGGATTACTCATAAAATCTTATCGTTTGTGGTTTACGACAAGAGCTGTTCTTTTAGTGATGAATAAATATTTTATATATATACAGAAATAAGCAGCAGGACAAATTTTATTTTGTGTACGAGTAATATAGAGACGAAACTCTGCCTCTTTTCGACCGTCAGATAAAATATAAATTTCACATTTTTAATAAATAAATATGAAATGAAACACTTTTAACGGTTTAAAACGCGGAAATTTATTGGTTAATTTATGTATAAAATATTTGAATTAACATACTTCAGGTTTTAAACCGTTAAAAATGTTTTATTCAAATGTGTACTATTCGCGTAAACGTAGACAATACGTACAAAATATTTTGAATTACATATTTGACAAAACTAACATTTTAGTTCTTAATTTGGGACTGCCGGGACATGAACCAACCGGACCAGTAACCAAACCAAACCTGGCCAAACTTAATAAAGAATAAATAAAAAAACACTGGCGTAATTGAGGCCATTGCTATATTTTTATTAACTCTTTTAGAATCACATTGAAGAGTTTAAATCACAAATACTTATAAAGAATTTGAAGGCCCACGAGTTGGTTACACTGAGCTCGAAATACAAGCATCTATAACGCCGGTATGTGCACAGTATGTTGAACCGGGACTCAGTTGAATATCGTATTATATAGCTTAGCTTTGTTATTCGTTCGATGCTGGCTCGCATACAAAGTGCCTCCTTTCGCAATACTAAACATTCCGTTCGGCATATTGGAGTGATAACTCTATGTAATGGTCCTACTTAATTATTTTTTATTGAATTGCCCAATCCTTAATAGTGAACGCTGTTCGCCAGTTGTATTGTGAAAGTGCTAAGTCACATCCAGTACGGCGAGACGTGTTTTGAATAATTTTGAGCTATCTTTACTTACATAAACCTCTTTCTTAGCTCAATGGTTGCCTAACACTGCGTTCAGCGGGAGAGGCTTGGATTCAGATCGCGGGAACAATTTAAAAAATACTTCTATGTTTTTATTTCAGTTTAGTAATAAACACCGCAGCATTTGTTTTATGAATACAAAAACTTATAAGCGGATCTCTTCCAGGCAACCGAAAGTGAAGGGAAAAACAAAAGAGATCTATGGCTGGTGCTAGGGGAAAATTAGTCTCAAAATAATAAAACATTTTTTAAATTGGTTGAAGTTAAGCCGGGCACAAACGTTTCATCATCTGGCTATAAATAAAATCGTTTACTAAAACGGATACGAAAATGTGTTCGTCCCACGCCCCAAATGGGGACATGACATTGCACTATGCAATTATTTTTCTACTAGCTGAGTCAGCGATTTCGTCCGCGACAATCGTTATTTTGGGCATCCAAATTCGTTTTTGCAAACCCCTTCATCTTTATAGACTTAAGCTGTTGACCACGACATCGGGCGCGTCCCTTCCCCTCGTTCTTGCAAGTTAATCTTAAAAGATAGACATATAGCGTCGTGGACTTTTTCTTCGATAATTTAAAGAGGAATCATTCTTTGACACATATTTTTTGGCCTTCACATTTCCCGCTGTCTTTTCGCTCCTGTTCCAAACCCAAACTTTTCTATTCGAACCCGTAGTTCCTAAGATTAACGTGTTCAAACAAACAAACTCTTGAACTTTATATATTAGTATAGAATCTTACACACTTGAAGGCTTGGAAGTAACTATCTTATTGGAATTTAGAAAATTATCTCGCTATATGTTGCAACGTGACTTTGATTTACGACCTAGGCTAATGATGATGAGGCGTTATCGAGTGTTATTCTCTTTCAGGTCGCATTCCCCGCTTAGTCCGAAGCTGCGGAGTATGGGGAAGGCAAACGCGCCGCAAGATAACGAAACCACTCCCGCCAAAGAACTAGAACGGCTAGTCAAAGAGGTAGAAGAGAAATACCTTGTTGAAGGATTTTTTATACGCGCTGAAATTCTCAGCATCTTGATTTAAATTTTTTCTAGTTTAATTAAATTACTAACAATTTGCTAATAAAAAAGTGTATTATTTTGAAAGATATTTTGTAGTATGCCAGTATGCCTGATAAACATTGAGCCATACAAATTGTTAGTAGAAGGAAGAAGAAGAAAAGCTTATTTCATTTGTGTGTATCGATTTGTTATATGGGTCTACAAATATTAAGTAAATATTAAAACTAACTTAAAATATATTTGGCTTGATGATAGAAGTCTGGAACGTAAGGTCGTATTTATTAAATGTCATATTAATAAAAATGCCCAAAGACAAGCGTGTTGTAAGAATTCAATTATAATACCTTCTGAATACGAATATTAAAAATTTAAAAAATAGGCCAAGCCGTTACATAAGAATTTGTTATGCTACAAGATATTTATTAATCTAATGGTTAACAGGTTCGATTCGGCTTAAAACATTTCTCAGATGTCATCACAAAAAGGAAATTGGAGATGTTGCCGGATAACGGTACGATCGTTTTCGAATCGATCGCAAATATACATAAGGGTGAGTGTCGAACAGTATGTTGATTGTTTTGGATCAGTCAAATTTATTTATTTACGGATTAATATGTCTTCACCGTGCCATATGTATGGAATCTTATGTCATACATAAAGCATGGTGGATTCTATACATTTTTACTAAAGGATACATATGTAAAGTTCTCTTGATGGAAGATGAAACGCTACAGCCCTATTATTACTTTTTTAAATTATAGAGGAGGACACCCCCCCCCCCATGCTTGTCTTGCTTTGACATGCTTTACTTGATGGTAGGTAAAATAACCCAGCCATAAAACATCTAAACAAACCGCTTTCGACCTATTTTAGTGTTGGATATTCGGAAAACGACAGGATGTAACCAAAAGGCGTATTACAACTATGGAGGGCTTTTCGGGGTCTAGAAAAATGATAAAATTAGTTAATTTAATCATCTTAAAAATTGAACATAAGACGCGTTGGTGTATTAGTATATTTAAGTACTGTCTATTGTTTACGACTAGTAAATTTAAATAAAACTTCTTTAACGGTTTAAAAAAAGGAAAATTATTAGATAACTTATTTACAATATATTTTTACTATGTAATGATTAATGAAACACAGTGTCTTATACATTGCTTTTTTTCTAGCTATAAAGCCGTACTGCAGTCGATCCCCAACGCTCATGAGTGCAGTGAAGCGGTTATGTACAGCCCTGGCGATGCTAATAAGACTCTGTGATGAAGTGACAGTGGTCAGTTTAAGGGCGGACGCGAATGATACAGAGACAGAGGTTTCGACGGCAGCCCTATCTCCCGAGAATGTGAACTCTGTGGTCAAGGGTTTGAAGTTAGCTGTGGAGGAAGTGGCGAGTTTAGCCCAGCAGTACATGACGAGGCCAGCGCTTTCGCCGCGACCAGCTGTTGTTTCGCCGCGCGCGTCTACGCAAAGAAACTCTCTACCAGGTAAGAAGCAAAGAATTGTTAATGTTCGCTCCTCCCCTACCGAAGGATAGTGAGAACTTTGAAAATTGATTAAACACTGTCTGTAGTAGGTATACGCGAATTGCACACAATTAAATAAAACGCGATGTATATTAGTTAAACTTATTTGGAAATTATTTGCCCGGCGTTTCTTGATTATTACATCACTATTTTATTGAAATCATTTAGTCATTACCAAAATTCTGTTTCTAGATATACCTCTAACGCCAAAAGAAAGATCCCTACTCACTGGTGAGCCAGGTACTGAGAATAGCGGCGTACGCGCATCGCACTCGTCCGAGTCGATATTGGATGCTCCAGACACACCGCCTCCGAAGCCAGCTAGGCCTAATCGGTATGTTTGTTTGATCTTCAGGAGTCATAGGATTATTTGTCTTCTTAATTGTCTTAGTACAGTCACCTACAAAATATTTACGTTTAACGCTATATAATTAAATCGCTTGAAAATAAGATAAAAGTGACTTTATGCAATTTCATAGTACATAGTATATTTATTATATTCCGAAATGTTAATAACTTTTCCAACTAATTGTTGTACATGTTTGTACATAGTTTTTATGTCGCAGTATTTCTATACAATTAGTTTTGCTCAAATTATTATATTAGGTTTTAGTTTTAATTTATAATTATTCGCTAAAGCTTTGTAAATTATATATGTAAAAGTAATGCTATGGGATACAAACTAAATGGAACTTATGTTGTTCAAATAAATTGCTTCTACACGCCTACCCGCTTATTATGTAATATTTAACTTAACTTATATCCGTTTTATAATTTGCGAGAAATTGTCTGTGAATTATAATTCTGTTAAGTTGAGCCGCTTATCGGCGAAAATAGAAATTCACGCAACTAAATTAGTAGAAAATTGACCTCTGACTGGTCGGCATTAATAATCGTAAATTAGCATAAAGGCGATCGCACATTTACCAGCAACGTATCCTCGCATTTCTTGATATCCTCAAACATAAGCCAAAAATGTAAAATTTGCATTTTATTTTATTACACCGACAGATCAAAACCCACCTATATCGTTTATTTATATTTAGTATTAAGACATGTATTTTTATGTCAGATCCAATAATTAATTTTAGGCATACCTTAACGTATGTCTAAAAATCAACGGTTCGTAGTGTCTATGCCTCGGTCCAACATGTTTTTAAAATAAATATTTTTTCGGAAACATGTTGGATTTCTGGAAATCTGGATATTAAAAGAGTGATAGTATCGAAATTCCGTCCAAATCACGAACCGCCGTTCACACATTACAAAAGCCGTGAAATTTAATCGCGTTTTGGTTTCAGTCTGGATTTTTGAATATCCAAAATAAGTCAACAGCACATCTTAATAAAGAAGTGTGACTGGTTTTTAATAAATAAATGTTCGGTCGACCTATGGCTAAGATTTTTCAGCTTCTATCAAGTGAGCTTGTCTGTCTACCTCTATAAAAATAGATTTGCGTTGCGAATTAACGACTACTGTGCGTTCACCTTTAATCGGAAGTAAATTATTAGCTATCACGGGTTACCCTTGATACCGCCGGCCATTAGTTTACTTATTTAGCAATATTGTCGTGGAAAGTGAAAGTTTTGTTTTGCAGGAAAATCGAGTTGGCCCCACCTCTGCCGCCCAAGCGCAAGTCTGCAAACGACAACTCGTTGCTCGGGGTGTCGATTGACAGGTAAATAGATTTAATATTACAAGCTTATTTCACTCCAAATGATACTTTGATTATACAGGAATTATCTAAGCTGTAATGAATATGTCGTTACGTGACTTTCATATAAGTTTGTATATTAAGAAAGTTGTCTTACGAGGCTTATAGCGTTATAAATTGTCTAAGTTATACGAGACTGTAGTTAGAGTTATAATCATAGTAATTTAAAAATTTAAATACCAATATATATACTTCTTATTATTATAATTATAAAGGAGGAGAGATACGCATCGGTTTTACTTGGTGGAAGGTGAAATCAACCTATTTTGGCTTTGGATATTCGGATATCCGCAGACGGAAACCGAAACGCGATTAAACCTAACGGCTTTTCATCAGTGGACAGTGGATCGTGACCGGGGACGGAATTTTTATATTTAATATACAGATTTCCTGACGAAGTCCAACATGTTTTAGAAGCCACGACCCGTCGATTATTAGCCCGTCAAAACAACTAACTGTGTTAACTTAATATACCCTTTCCTAATGAACATTTTAAAACCAATAATAACACACGGTTTACAATAAAATATATTTCTGCATTCAAATGTATTCAAATTATTATTTGTTTTCAGTCTGTCTATGCAGTCACATAGTAGCGGCTCCCAGGATTCAATGCTCAACGTATCCAATGATGAAGATAGGAATACACATGATTCTATGAACCATGTCTTTATCACTCAACCCAGTACGGATTTAGTCAGTAAGTATACCTTGATGACATTATATAAATTAAAAAATAATTAAACTAAAATCATTTTACGACACGGGCGGGAATTGAGGGCAGCACGGAAATTTCTTTAAGCTACATATATTTTTCATTTATATAAGTATATTTTGCCCAATATAAAGGGGTACATTTTTATTGCATTTATTTCGGTAACAAGTGTAGTAATATCGTATTTTACTTACACATCCACTACATAACATCGCACTAAAATAATTTAAAAAAAAGTGAAATTATAATGTTGTTTGTATGTGGGAAATCCAGTTTCCTCCGTGCTAGGCATGGGAAGAACATATTTTTGTGCGTTGTCTATTCAGTCTTCTAACTCCTGTCCGACTGAAACAATCTATTGTTTTTCCGGGTTCGAACACAGGACCTCCCGCGCTTAACGCTTAATTCTTGGCAACAAGTATTTGCCACAGACGGGTGATATTGTTACTTTTTATAGAATTTTTATAATAATTTAACGGTTCGATATATTTTTATTAAAACTAAGCATCGGTGTATTTGCCCATTTGCAGGTATTTGTAATTGTAACAATATAAACGAGATGAGGACGTCAGTGGAATCGCACGAGTCGCATATGAGTAACGCTCATTCTCATAATCGGTAAGGTTACATTTTATTTGTAACATACTATCACAAGTAGTAAGTTTGAATTGACAAGTAGAATGCAGAATAATGCATCTTAAAATTCTAGGACAGCTGTATTATTTACATTTGTAATATCCTGACTACCAGATTAATAAGGGACACGAATTTTGAAGTCTGACACTAGAAATAATAGTACATTACTGCAGGGGCCGGCAAGAGAGGCATTCATGGGCGATTAAGTAACATACAAACACACGTAAGTCCATCAATGCCTAGTTGCCAAAGCTTGTATAGTACTTTTCTCAAATAATGCGCGGAAATTAATATTGATTATTTTTTATTGTCTTAACAGCTTTCTATGTGCAAGGCAGTTCGAAAATTAAATTTTTGACAAGCTACCTCTTTGGTCGCCATGTTGCGAAGTGGACGATCGTTTCATTTTTAAATTGTATAACGAATATGATTTTACTATTATTAATTAATATTCAAATGAAAATAAAGCACTTTAACGGTTTAAAACGCGATATATATTAGTTAAACCTATTTTTTAATTATTTTTAACTTCGGCCCGAAGTTCCTTTTTTTAACTAATATGTATCGCCTTTTAAAACGTTCAAGTGTTTTATTTAAATGTGTACTACACGCGTAAACTATAGACAATATTTAATACTCAAATTTCCAAATGTTTAAGAAAAAGTTTTATTACTTCCTTCACTCGTCAAGATTCGTGTTCTGTTAGGACTAGTACAATAGATTTGGATCGTACAAATTAAATTTGATTTGACAATAGCTTCTCAAACGAGTCTGGCTTCGTCTCGGTGGGCCACTCGGAGATGTCGACAGAGCACAGCTTCACTTCCACGTTCTCGTCACATCACTATTCTAGTCACACGGACAGGTGATATACCCAATATTTTAGTGTGTTTTTACAATTAGATTATATTTGCACTGTTTTAACTATTAACTTGCAACCACAAGCATAAGGTTTTACTTGCATCGCACAGAGATTCGACTAGTGTTGTACTCCAAATAATTGGTGCAGGGCAGATTTATTTAGATTGATAAATACACCCCACAGATATTCGAATAGTGTTGTACTCGATTTTGTACACCAAACTTAGTTTTCAACATCGATGTTTCTGGTATGTTTTTTAAACCTTCTGCTTTAAATTTGTGTTTGTTTCTCATAACGTTTACCTTAAAATTGATCATGATAATAACTCATACGAAGAGATAATACTGATAACATCAATTTTGGTATAAAACTAGTTTCCAATACGCCTTACAGAAAAAAACACTTATTAAATGATAAAAATATTTTTAAAGCAATCTTAGCGGCGTTTGTTGACAGTTTAAAATTGGAATACAATCAAAATTGTTGTTCTACCCTCGGCGTGTCTGTCCTTCATGCTTGTTGTTTGTTATTGTTTGCAGTACTTTTGAAAGTACAGAGTTTGTGAGCGAAATGAAGTGCACAGTGCAAAGTGAGAGCCGCATGAATATTATCAGTGTGAACAGTTTGACATCACAAAGTACGAAGTGAGTGTCCTCGTCTTGCCTTTTCTATTGCATGCTGTTTATTTATAAAACTACCCTTTTTTTTGTTTACGACATCTATACATTAAATAAAACAGCTTTAACGGTTTCTAGCTTAAACGAATTAATTTTTAACGACTCCGACGTGTAAACCGTTAAATGTTGTTTTATTAAATATAATTTTAATAGTATTGTTGCTTTAATACTGATGCACTGATTCTTATCAGTATCAGAGACTTATTTCTTTGGATGTAATTACATATTTTACCTTTTATACTTGGTTTTTTAAACAATTATTTCTAGTTTAGTGGTGTTGGTTTCTTAAATGTTTCGTGAAAGGAAAGTATTCCTTTTTATCCATTTAAAATTTTATATTATTTAATAAAAAAGGAAAAGTTTCCTTTTTACAAATGCCGTTGCAAAAGCAATTCTAAGTGTAGGTCACATATGAATTTCGTGAAGTCATAAGACGAATTCGCGCATACATTAACCTCCTTTTGTATTATGATATAACGTTCCACCTATTAACATGCGGACGGAGTCAATAAATTTACAAGATGATAACAGAGGCGCTGTTTATAAACAGAAAGAAACAACATTCGACTCCCGCCTGTGTCACTAAGTATTTGAATCTAAAAAAAAATTAAATTTAGCTCTTATAGGCATTATGTGAAATATAAAAGTTGAAACATTTTAATTTTATGCTCAACGGATTTTTATTACCCTTGTTTATTTTAATCTGTACATGTTAATGATCATATGGGACAACTACCTCATTTTGTAGAGCAACAGCACGCTACGCAATTGGTCTTAGGTATTTTTATTTTATTTTAATTTTCAATGAAATTAACGCGAAATATAGTATTTTATTTATTTTAATTTCGACCCGACGTTTCGGAGACTTGACAGCAGTCATGGTTAGCTATTTACCAACTGTGACAAAACAGATTTGATTTTGACATTACGGACGCCCTCCATCTTCAGTCGTCCCGTGACCACGGCTGATGTTAAGCATCCGAAACGTCGGGCCGTAGTTTAAATAAATTGTAAATAATTTAACTAACATATTTCGTGTGTTAAACAGTTACATATGTTTTAACTGTGCTTTACTCGCGTAAACTACAGACATATTAGGTTAATAAAAGACTTCTGTGATTTCGTTCTATATATTTGTTAAATACTCGCTTTCAATATTTTCAAAGTAGAAAAGTTATATATTTAATAAAATAATCTCTTTAAAAGTTAACTCATATAATATATACGTGTTATGTAAATTTTATTTAGCTAACATGATTGCACAGAGATACCTAGCTGTATTTATTTTTAATAATTAAAAATTGTATTTTAAGTTGCTGAAAAAAAAAACTAAATTTCATTAAAGTTGCAACAGTGTGAGTGCAAACAAATCTATTTATTCGATGATGATTCTGCAGCGCAATAGACAATTAAAAAATTAATTAAAAATAAACGCAATAACCAAAGCCAAATGTTCCCTACTCAGGTTGGAGAGTATAACGTCAGACGAGAGCGAGACGCCGCCCGAGCTGCCGGTGAAGACGCGCCGCAACATCCGCGCTGATGTGCAGCAGCACTTCCCCAATGTTGAAATCAGGTGTGTTGTAATTTCCCGAATTATTACAAACAGTATGGCCTCATCATTTTAACAACAATTCATGCCTTTACGTAAATATTTTTAAGTCTATAATAATCTTATACATGATCTATTATTGTTATTTAACGAGGTCCTGGGTCCAATGTTATCAATGGCTAATATACGGGTCTCTGGTTCGATTCGCACCTGGACTAACATGTTTTTTAAATGTACTAAAAAATCTAAAATCTGTTACACAAACTAGCTGGCCGTCGGTGTATTGGTAGAAATGTATGTCCAATAATCAATGGGTCTTGGGTTCGTTCGCCACCGGGTCAGACGTTTTTTTAATCAATTTAAAATTTTTCTGAAACATGTTGGACTTTGTCTGGAAATCTTGATATTAAATGGCTGGTAGGAATGTCGAAATTCCGAGGCCACGAACCGACGTCAACGGATGGAAAACCGTAAAGTTTGATCGTGTTTCAGTTTCTGGATTTCCGAATGTTTAAAGCCAAAAAATAGGTTATTTTGTTTAGATATTATACGTTTCCCTCCACTCTATATATTAAAAAAAAAACAGTTTTTCTGAAACATGTAAGCAATCGGATGTAATGTCAAAATTCCTTCCGGTTGACGATCCACAGATAGAAATCCGTCAAGAGTTTGTTTTTAAGCTGAAAAGCCAAACGATTTCAAAATGTGCAAAGTCATGTCATGTTATATGCATGATGAAATATCAGCTACTTACACTTTCAACGACGAACTTAAAATTATCAATTCGTCAATTAGATATTAGTTTATATAAGACTATAAGGCTGCAATTCATCTATATTTATGTGACTAAACGAATTTAGGAAAAGCCCGCCATTTTCACTGCACGACGCGCGACCACATACACTCGCCGAACACAACCACCAGAGGCCACCACCGCTGCCGCTAAAGAAGAAACACAGTCAGTATTGAATTTAACATTTTTATGGTTATGTTATTGTACGGTTTCTGTTACAGTGGGAAAAACTTTGACGATATTAGAAAATGCATGGATAATATTGTTGAATTATTGATAGTATAGCGAGAAATGACTTAAGGAAATTTGAAATTTTGGTCTGCTTGATAAAGTGTTATATATAGGATGTTGTTATGGGAGAGCTACAAAACATGTGCTTGGTGATACATGGTGATAAACCTGCATGCATTAAATTCCAAATCCTTAAGAAATGGCGTCGAAAAAATCAACATGGCGCGAATGAAACCGTGGGCAAAAGCTAGTCTAACAGTTTACGATTTATTTTATTGAACTAAGTAAGAGCCAAGACTAAAAAACTTAATGGCTCGTTGCAAAACTTCACCTTCATCCATCTAACACTTGGTTGTATGCAATCTCTTGCAAACTTAAGCGAATTATGTTGAACAATCTTCACGGTGTAATTTTATTTCCTAACATTAGCCTAAATTTGGACTTGATGTCTTCCATGTGGTTTTTCATGCTGTGTGTCTCATTACAAAGGCATAGACTTGATTTGGTGACAGAGAATCACAAAGTTGAATGCTTATACATGTCTATTTAAAAAGTATGTTACGCGAATAGCACACATTAATATAACACTTTTAACGGTTTAAAACGCGGAACGTTTATGTTAAATAAGTTTTTTTATTAACTACAATCCGACAGCATCAGCCTTGTCAGCACGTCAGGTCGTATTTAAATTACATAAGATATGTTATAATCTATCGCGTTTTCAACCGTCAGAAGTAAGTTCAAAGTTGGAATTTGTTTTAAAATGCTTTTACACAAATAGTAAATAAAATGGGACACGCTGTATGTAATAAATGTTCCTATGAGGCTCCAGTTCTATGTTCGAATGGTAAATGTTTTGGGGAATTTAATGGCATGTTTGTCTCTTATGTCGGTGCCGCGCTGCAGTGTTTCAAAGCGTCGCATACAGCGGTGAGTGGATCTATGCATGCATATAAGTTAGCATTGTCAGGGACCTCTGTTAGGGCGGGCTTAGCATGGGCAAAAGCATCCACGAATCACCGTCCACGGATGAAAAAGCCGTGAAGCTCGATCGCGTTTGGGTTTCAGGATTTCCGAAAATCCAAAGCCGAAATAGGTCGACCGCGCATCTTGTTTAGATCATGTGTTTGTTTGTCTATCATTAAAAAAATGTTTGCTCAAGCTGTGTTTTGCCCATGCAATGCTCTAGATTTCCATCAGATCCACTCCAAGTTACCGACTCGTTGGAGATCACATGTGCTTCCAGCTTTCAAGAGAATAACACCAAGCTTGCTCATCACAAACACGATTAAGCATCATTTGTGTTCAAAATTCTTTCAACCATATAGCACTAGGTTCGAATTTTTCGGCAACTTACGGTTCCGAAGTAAAAACCAAAGATATCATTGTTTTTCGGGCGGTTCGGCCGATGTGAGCGAGAAGAGGTTCTCGACGTTTCATCATCCACGTCGAAGAAACGTCGAGAACCTCTTCTCGCTCACATCCCGAAAGACAATGATATGCCGAACGATGGCCGTGAAAGCCTTACACAATTTAAAAACCAAAGAGTTTCAGTGCAATCATTGGCGTTATATATCAATAGATAGATGCATTTTCGCTTAACTGGTGTTTGCTAATCGTCTCTTTAGATTTTCGCATACGAGCGTAGAGCTAGAGCGTACGTGTTGGGCAATAAAACTTTGTTTGTGTTTAGTAATGGCTTACATGGAGATGTTTGGCAACTGCAGTCACACTATGAACGCTCATCCACAAATTAACCCGGAGGCACCGCTCGATATGGCCTTCAGACACTCCATTCACACATACAATTTGACTAGGTGAGTTGCTGTTTGAAATTAATACTATCTTTTAAAGTGTTAATTATACGAACGTAGTTTTGTATCTAAAACGGCAAGATCGATTTTCATGTATTTTATTGATATGCGTCCGTAGCGTATAGCGAAACAACGATAAAACTAAAATACCGTTAGTAAAATAGGTTCGTTGGTCTAATGGTAGCAATATATGCCTAATAATCGACGGGTCGTGGATTCGATCCCTACCGGGTTTTAGTAATTTTTCTAAAACAAATCTGGATATTAAATGAGTGTTAGGTATATGAAATATTCCTTACGGGCCAGCATCTACAGAATAAAAAAGGCATGAAGTTTGATCGCGTTTCGGATTCAGTCTCTAGATTTCCAAATGTCCGAAGCTCAATCAGTTTAATAGCGAATCTCGTATCTATGTTATATGGTTGGGCTGTTTCACCTCCCATTAAGTGAACTCTTACTTGACTGCCCTCATTTATAATAACAACAATATTCAGCTAATAATATACTACATTGACTGTTTGGCAGTCCGAAGTCCGCCGGGTCCGCTCGTTTAATATTAGTCACAATTCTATTTATTTAATGATGTGTTATAAAAGAGTAATATGAAAACCGATTAACCCAAATGTTCTCAATGCGTATATTTCCAAGTTTGTTTGCTCTTTGGTTCTTTGTCATATACGCATCGTTGATAGTTTTACTGACGAGACAAAGGCATAAACAATATTATTCGCAAATTAGATTAGATTTGACGGGCTCGTTGATCTAATGGTAGCAATGTACGGCTAATAATCAACGGGTCAAATACTGTCTATAGTTTACGCGAGTAGTACACATTTAAATAAAACACTTAAACGGTTTGAGACGTGGTCACGAGGAGACACCTCTCCCCGTGACCACGGCTGCTGCAAAGCATCCGAAACGTCGGGCCGAAGTTAAAAATCATTTTCAAATAGGTTTAACTAATATATCGCGTTTTAAACCGTTAAAGTGTTTTATTTAAATCAACGGGTCGTCGAGTTTCGGTCTCAGTCTGCGGATTTCCGAATGTCCAAAGCCGACATCGTCCAAGGCCGACAGCGCATCTGGTTTAGATGCTATAGGCAGGGCTTATATCACCTACCATGTCTGTCTTTTTCTATTAAAAAAAAAGAGAAACAATATTGCTGTAAGGGACACATTAATGTGTCTACCTAATATACCATATAATACGTAACTTATATAAACGAAGGAAAAAACACTATAATTGTTTTATGAACTTTTCCAAATATTCCAGTGCTCAACATACAAGCACTGGAGGGCTGAGTATAGGTCATCACCAAGTTCAAAGATCGCTGGCCTCATCGATGACCGTACAACATCTGAGCACGCCCCCCCTCAGGTTCGTGACTATTAGATTATAAAAATCATCACCAATTAACAACCGCTATATCGAGTAACCTATATTTCTCTTTTATCACCTTTAATTATACCTAGACTAGTCTATAGTCTATAGAGAATTTCACCTTTAGGAGTCAGTGGTATTAAACGTACGTAGATTCTAACTAAATCAAAATGTTCATAATAAGTAATTATACGCCGTAATTATTTATTATTGTCTTAATAGCCATAAATAAGTCGTGATTCGTGTGAAGAGGCTCTTAGTTCCGTCTTTAATTGTTTTTTTTTATACTTCGTCATTGACAGTGGCTCTGAGGACAGCGTCAGTATGATAACATCGAACAGAACAAGCCCGTTGCCCATCGAGCCACCAGCTCTGCCGCCAAAGATGAACAAAACCAAGCAGGTAATTGATATACTCTGTGACGTCACATGCTTTTTGTTGCGTAAATCAAACTTTACATACTAGTAAATAAATCAAGGATATGAAAATTACAGTTTTTTTGAACGACGCTTCCTAAAGAGTAATTAGAAGAAGTGATGAAATAGTAAATTGTACGGAATATAACAATTTTGTTTGCTATAATTTTAACTTTGCTAGTAATAGTGGCTGTTTGTGAAGAATTAATTTTGGATGGTTTCACCTCAGGTATCAATTACTTCGAGCAACGAGTTGTTGCCACCCCCATCGCCGCGTCCTTCTTCACATAACAGCAGTTCTGCGGATGAATCTATACTAAATAACGTGGTATGTGTCATTAGAGCCTTGTACAGGCTGAACTAATAAAAATGCTTATAATTTAAATTAAAAATTGATATTAGTTTGAAGAATTTTATGACCAGGACTACAACTTGAACCGGCATCCACAGCGTTACGTGCTGTTGTCGAACCAATTGAGTTACCATGTTTCATAATTACACTTCTCGCGCATTGTAATTTCAACCCTAATCTAACTTGCGCAGTGCCATCATGTGCATAAACATTTGAAAAATATTAAAGTTGTCAAATGCTTGTACAATGTGTAATTAAATGCATCTTTATCCAGAGTACGGAGGAAATGTACGTAAGTGTGTCGTCTCCTGGCAAGTTTCCTCTGGATGAAGACGAGCTGGACAGACTCGTCCAGCCGGCCCCATCGCCTGTTCCCTCACAGGTAAATAATACGCCGTTTCGCTTATACCTGTAGTTGACATGAGTGGTTCCTATTAAAAAAACATTAATTTTTGACGGCCTATATTAGTTATATCTGCGTCAGTGAATTCGTATGCGTAGAATAGTTAATTTGTTTTGCAAACCTCTTCAATTCTATAAATTTAAGCTGTTTCCGATGATGTCGTCAGCGACCCGTCGATCTTGCAAGTTAATCTTAAAAGATAGACATATACTGTTGCGGACATATTATTTAATTGTTTAAAAAGGAATCATTCGTTCATACATATTTTTTTGGGTATCTTGAACCGTTTTCGCAGCGTACGCAACGGAATCCGTCAAAGATGAATAATTTTCCCAGTTTCTTCTACATTTTCTACATTTAGTTATATTCGTGTGTCACTTAATTTTTTTTCTTATGTGCAGAGGAGTGAAAGCAGCACAGAGCCAACACAAACGGAAACAGAGAAGGATCCAGTCGTGCCAGACTCTGAGGATATTGTCCTTCAAACGGATGTCAGTACGTGGCTTTTGCTCAAGGGACCAACTAAAGATGGCGTGGATGTGCGAGGGGGGCACCCTGATGCCCTCATAGTACTCGCTACGAAGGCTACCAAAGGTAATTAATTATTCTTCCTTTGTTTATGAATTATCTGTGGATTTCATAAGAAATTAATCAGTGAGTATGCACTGTATTGCACACGTGCATTCAAACTATAGGTAATATGAGGCTGCGAGAGGCAGAGTGGCCTAGTAACTAAAAACCACAACCTGATTTTCTATGAGGAAAATAAAATTACGCAATTAACTTAGGCGAAAATAATTTTTTATTGTATTATAATTATATTATTGTACATATTAGCATTTTTAGACTATGAACATATAAAAAAAACTCAAGTAATAAAATCGCAGTTAGGCTACTCTGCCTCTAGCAGCCTCATATTCTTATTAATCTTGATGTGGGTAAAGGATCAAATATCTGTGAAACATTTCCGTTTTAACATAGCTTTTATTATGTTCATTTATGTCCTATTAATTTGTAAAGCATGTCCCAATCCCACAAATATCACCCCATGTTTTCAATTCATATTTCAAGGGACTTAGATCATAATTAATGTTAGTGAAGAAACATTCTAACCTCTTAACTTTCATGCTTTCACTTTCCAGAAACGGACGAGTGTAAGTCAAATCATTATATGAATTGGGGCTGACAAACACGCTGGTTCACTAATGACGTTTTGTTATAGCTTGCCGAAGCACTTAACTAACACATCGCTTTTGGCTGCGTTTGAACTTAACACTAGTCAAACGAAAAATATGCATGGGATTTCAAACTTAAACCCCGTATTTACACCCTTTTTGTTGATTTTGGTCTTGGCATGTTGAAGAGTGAAAACTAACAATTCTATTACCGTAATGCACAATAGCTAGAAGTTTTTTCAAAAATATTATGAATTGTATGTCGAGAGTTTGCCGCTTTGTGTTTTTCAAAGTCACACAAACAGCTAAATATTTTTCATCACAAAATACTTCCAAGCCAAACCGCACTATATTTCACGAGGTACCGCTGATAAAACGCTAATAGGTCGTCTTTTTTAAACTTTTCCTCACTTTATGAGTCTATACTAATTTATATTCGACTTTATTTTATTACCACAAACTTAAATTTATTTTAAATAATTGAACAAATCTTTTGAGCGTAGTTACTTTATTGTAAGATATAAATATAAAATTTTTATGTTACAATGTTCTTAGTGAAACTTGTTAAGAAACTGTCTCTGAGTATATTTCTTTGAAATAATTTGAAAGTTTACATATATCAAATTGTTATATTAGTTTTACTTATAAGAGACAACTAAACATAGTTGCTTAAATAAATAAATTATATTCAAATTTATGTCGCACCCAGTCGTGTCGTACTTTCTCTACTTTAAAACTGTGTTACATTCAGCGGTACCACTTCTATATGTACTTTGTATAAATTATACTAAACACCTATCGTTGTGCAGATTTCGCATACCAGGAGGCGTTCCTGGCGACGTACCGCACGTTCCTGACTCCGACCGAGCTGGTGACACGGCTCGTCCGACGAGCGAACCATTTCCGTCCGCGTCCGCATGAACTACGGTCTACACTGGGCTTGCTTACGAGGGTCATTGCTGATCTCACGTAAGATATTTTTTAACAGTCCCAACCGACTCTTTCAAGCTAAGGATGACTTCGTAATATAAAAACGCATAAATATGTATATTGATTATCACTTTGGTCCTTCAAGCCGGCCATACATAATTATATAACATAGGTAACAATACTGAAATTTGTGCTTCTTCATTACAGAATGTCAGATTTGGATAGACCCCTTATGCAGCAGATAATGGAATTTATTTATTGGCTTGTTGAGGCGGAAGAGCTGCCCATATCAAAGGCGCTTCGCCAAATTTTAGTTGATAAACAGAAACAGTTACATTTCCAAAACGTAAGTTGAAAAATAAGTATTAAATTTATATTAGCCGTAAAGTTTAATTTTGTTCTTAGTATTTGAAACAATTATTTTTTAATATTTTTAAGTTCACATAAACATTTATTTAGTTGTCGAATACTCAATATGTGTTATAAAAGTTTTCCATACGGTTTATGTTTTCATATATTATAATATTTTTTAGGAATAATAGGTTCTTAATTTAGTATTATTATCCTCTAAAATATAAATACTAGGTATTTACGGTATGTATTTAATTTTTCAGACTAACAACAGATATGAGTACGATCCGTGTTACGGTACAGTGTCACTACGGCGAGACACTCTCCTCGATTTCAAAGCATCGGAACTGGCGGAACAGATGACTGTGTTAGATGCGGCTTTGTTTGTACGAATCACTACTGCGGAACTGCTATCTTGGCCCCGAGACCAGTCTGAGGAGAAGTCGCCAAACCTCACGCGGTTTACCGAGCATTTCAACAAGATGAGCTTCTGGGCAAGATCTAGGATCTTAGATCAGGTGAACTAGCCACTTCTATGTAGCCTTGTTCTTAAAGGAAAGGAAACAATAGATAGTTTCAGTAGGGTACAGAAATCTAATCAACTACTTGCCTAGGAAGACCTAGAGAAGTGTGCGCCCCATGCCCTACGGAGAAACGGGATTTCTTATTAGACATACCTACCTACATATCAGACACACTCAAATCATTAACTTAAACTAACATAAAATTATTTGTTCTCAAATAGCCTTGTTTATTTCCTAAATAAACGGGGCTACACCTAATAGATTGCTTATATTATAATACGACGGCATAATTAACCGCGAGAAAAATTCACGTTTAGCATAATTATAATGACTAGTGTTAATAGAGAGAACTATTTTTTTGGTTGAAGAGGTGAGTGTTGTATGGGAATTTAGATTACTGAGTAACGACATTGAGTCAATTCTGTTGTGAATGATTTTATAAGAAATTGTACATGTATTTGGTATTTTCTTACGATTCAACACGATTAGGAGTAAAGCTATGTTTTATTATAATTCACATATTCTTTTTTGTTCAGGATGAGGCCCGAGAACGAGAGAAATACGCAAGTAAATTCCTCAAAGTGATGAAGGCGCTGCGTAAAATGAACAATTTCAATTCCTACTTGGCGCTAGTGTCAGCGCTTGACTGCCCTCCCGTACGGCGACTTGGCTGGTCTCGCGCGATTGAAGATGCCCTGACAGACCATTGCGCGCTCATAGATTCGTCTATGTCCTTCCGGGCGTATAGACAAGCCCTTAACGAAACTCAACCACCGTGCATACCTTATATGTAAGTGCTTTTATTATATAAATAATTCCCACTGCTGGGACAAATCTCAAGAGTATATATATATACCTTAATCCACACACGGCTGTTAAGTGCACGTTTAGAAACTTTGATTCAGAGCATGCCAAGTCAATTTACAACTATAAATATTTTTTACATCTAACACGGCCATAGATTGTCGGTCTCGTTGGTGTAATGAGGGGTAATGGGGGGGGGGGGGGCTGGATCACCTACCATCGAGCGAACCCCATGCTTGTCTGTTCTCCTCTATCGCAAAAAAAAACCTAGCGTTATAAATTCACATAATTTTATTTTTATTTTTTACAGTGGTCTATTCCTGCAAGATCTTACCTTCGTTCATGTCGGAAATCAAGATTTATTACCTGACGGTAGCATTAATTTTACAAAGAGATGGCAACAGTACCATATTATGGAAAATATGAAAAGGTTTCACAAGGAGTGAGTATATGCAATGCACTATCTACTACTAAACATAGGGATGTATGGTTTGACTACTACTACTATTTTCTATGAGGGATAAGCCCTTATGTCGGAATCCCCGTTTAGTCAGGTTTTTACTTTTGAGACTAAATATATGTTGCGGCTTTTTATTTTTTATATATTTTATAATATAGAACTGGATGCCCTATCGAATTAATTTATTTTTGCCCCGGAATTCAAAGTCAGGACCTCTCGCGCTTAACGCAATGCTAGGCAATATGTTTAACCAATTGGCTACAGAGGCGGTTTACATTTATTACCGCTTCTCAAATGAAGGGCGTAGAACGTACTAGAAGAACTGGCAAGAAACTCGCCGCCATTCCTTTTATCGCCAAGTTTTATTTTACAGTCATCACGTCGTCACTCGACGTCACACGACGTCACTAATGCACTACATAATATTTTTCTTATTTAAATCATTTAAATATTGTTTAAAGTCATAATAACCTTTCCAAACTTTCATTGTAAAGGAATATACGGGATTTTATTAAAATACCATATGCAAACGCTTTAGGTATAATGTGTTCTAAACTGTATGTTACTCTTTTAAAAATAACACTAACGGTTTAAAACGTGATATATATTAGTTAAACTTATTTGAAAATTATTTTAACTATGGCCCGACGATTTGTGTCCACGGCTGCTGCAAAGCATCCGAAACGTCGGGATATATCACGTTTTAAACCGTTACAGTGTTCGCGTAAACCACAGACAGTATTTTATGTTACTCTTTTAATGTTTCAGGCAATATAAAATCAAGAAGAACGAGCGTATCCAAGCCATGTTCAACGAATTCGACGACGTGCTAAGTGAAGAGACGATGTGGCAGATATCAGAGACGATTAAACCTAGGGGAGGTCGGACGCGCAACCCCTCTGCGCCTTCGCCCCCCGCACCCCCACAGCCGGCCGCCGCTGCTGCTACATAATGCGCCTGCGCAGGTGATCGCAAAGGTAACTCAAACTTTTAATATTATAACAGAATTTTAATATTTGTATAATTTGTCGGACTCGTTGGTGTAAAGGTTAGCAATATACTGCTAATAATCAACGAGTAGTGGGTTCGATCCCCACCGGGTCCAACATCTTATCAATAATTTTTGGAAACATGTTGGATTTCGCCTGATATTTTGGATGTCAAAGTTCCTTCCGGGGCACGAATCATCGTCTACAGAACATCCCATCTTCTTTAGATGATATATGATTGGGGTATTTCACCCCAATCATATATCATCTAATCTATATCTATTTGCTTTCGTAGTCGACTAGATTGACCTACTGTTAGTAAGATTTTTTTTCTTACAATACTTTGCCCATCTTACGAGGTACAATATTTATAATGATTGTCTTTTTTATAGCAGTTATAAAAGCACAAATACTGTTGTTTTAGGTGCGAATAAAATCCAAAGAAATCGAATATGGACTGAATCGACTCGGAAACTAATTACTCACGAGGAATTGCGTAATTTTAATGATCGAATGTGAATAAGTTATATCTGTAGTTAACGCGAGTGGTGCATGTTAAATGAAACAATTAAACGGTTTTAAACGCTTACTATATCAATTAATTCACTACCTCGATGCTTTACAGCTGACACGTAGATGGACAAATGAATAATTCGCGTTTTAAACCGTTCAATAGTGTTTTGTGAATCTGTCCGATGATGGCCTAATTATTATAGTGTATTGTGTGACTTCTGTGATTGGCGCCCGGTGGCCGGACACTGCGCGTGAGCAACGATGCTTTGTTTTGGACGTTGGTACTTCGCTATCTAGCTCCTTTATATAGGATTTTCTAAATGTAACGTTTGTTCTCAATTATTACAAGTTTTGACAACATCCCTGTATGGCTGGCATGCGCGCCTCGAAAATGTCGCTTGATAAAGTCGAAAAAAGTAATTCTAAAGTAACCTACAAACTCACGCGCATTCCAGCCCGGCTACACATCAGTATTTCAAATGGAACTATTCTGTATCAGTATTGAAATCCGCTATTTTCTTACTATCTCAACATATCAATGCGTGACTTGACATAGAGTAGAAGGTGTCGCTAGTGGTTGCGCTTTAGTATTTGTGTCTAGTTAATCTGCGAAACATCTTGAATACATCGAATTAGAGGACTTTTAAGGTATTTGCTATTGCATAGGAGGTAGATTGTTTAATGGTAAAATATAATAATTATGCGCAAGCGTCAACGAAGTAACTATTTAACTCACTCCAATATTGTGATTGATAATAATTATATTTCACCATGGCTTAGTGTAGCCATATTGTATGTATATTGCTAAGACATTTTCCATTGTTCTACTAAACATCGTTTTTAGGGTATGTGCCTAATTAAATTGTGAGCACGTATCGTCGTAGTTTCAGACTGAAAAGTCGTTCCAACCAATCGTGTGAACGCGGCTTTACAAGGCGTGTCCTTCGCAGGCAAAGAAATGTGCCAAAGTCACTGAAACTGTTTTTAAATTGTACGATTGAAATGTTTGTTTGGTTAATATAAAGGTGATTTCACATTTGTTAGCAGCGTACGCGCCGAAAGAACGCATTTTAGATTTCGCTGTACGCAATAATGTTGGTACCTCGAACATTAACGCGCATCGCAATTGTACGAAGCTATTAAGAAATTGTGTTTCTGACAAATGTGCGATTACCTTTAGTAGCCTTTATTGCAATTTTCCATCTTTATAGACATTTACCTTTTTATAGTCGGCTATAACTTCATAGCTCTATGGATACTACATCACAATGTTAGCTTTAGCGTTAAAAACATAACTAATTCAAACTATTCGTTGTAATATATATTAGGTGAATATTTTCGTTAGCGATATATATTTGGAAGTTTCTTCGATTTTGCTATAAAATATAAATTTATTAGTATGTATTTAATATTTATTACCATAAAATGATGGGAGCGCAATGTTTTTTCGCGTGCTCTTAAAATGAAATTTAGTGAATCCTTATTTTTGATATTCAGAAATTCTATTTTTCCTATGGAACGCTTTCCTTGAAGGAAACGAATTTTTAATACTTTGGGGAAATACATTTTATAGTTCTTCGTCACGTGTTGTGTCATTTTAATCTTGATTAGTGGTTTTAAGCTTAGATGCAGATGTAGGGCTTAACATTTGAGTACGAGATACAGTAGATGTGTAATTTTAACTCTATAATCATTCAAATGGCACTACTTGGTTGTTATAGCAGCGTGGCAAATTTTTATCAGCTTTAAAACATACTCATTCTTAGGATCTATATGTATCGTTCTAGCCTAATGTCAGATCAGAACATTTCGTGTCCATAGTTCCCGGTGGTACAGCAATAACGTAGTATTAATTGAAGCGCTACAACATGTGATAAAAATCATCTCGATCCGGGGGACGATTCTCAAAAAGGGGGATATATTATTTACGCCGACATATGTCGCCGATAACGTCAATATGTCGACGCGAATATTTGACACTTTCAAAAATCGTCCGCTTACAACTCGGTTGACGTCCTCTAAGCGTAGGAAAATATTTTATTAGACAAATATTAGCGGTAAGCGTGAAGTGAATTCTTAAACCCCATTTTATCTTTGCGGCGAGACCGTAGTGTTAGCTCATTTAGTCAATATTACGCTGTCACATACGAGTATATTTAGGTAAAATAAACTTATAATGTGACATACCGCATAAGGCTGGGGGCAATTCTGGATTAACCGACATTAATTTACGCAAACACAAGTCGCGAGGTTCATCACTTTTTTGAGAATTGCCCCCCCACACAGTGACTTTGAGGAAAGATGACCAGTGACCAATCGCGGACATCGGTGTGTTATATTATAGAGTTCGGTATACACAATAGAGATAAAAGTTTTTCATAGTTATAAAGGTGAGTATAGATATTAGTGCGTGTTTTGCATGTTAGGGGTCGGCCCCGCGCAATAATAACTAGACCAATATTTAGAACGTTTTACAGCGCTTTACACACGTTTGTCTTGATATTGTAATTTGTATAAATAATTTGAGATAGTTAAGTTGATAGGTTACCATTACGTTGTATGGTCTACTATTGAAAATATTTATTTAACGTATCGTCGTGTTCCGTAATGTTTGGCGTTGATTGGTGAAGTAAAGACTGCCTAAATTAATTTACTGTGAGTAGTTAGAACCGCCAATGATTATTGTGTTGGTTACAACCGTGTGTCGTCATGATTATACCTCGTCTAATTTAGGATGACGCGTTTGACAGTATTCAAAATTTAAAATTATTTATTTTATCATTAACAAAGATAATACGAAAAATGCGACCATTTAATAGTTATTTTAAAAACACATGGTTATATGTAGGTAAATATGAAGTACAATATTGTTTTGCAGGAATTAAAAGGTAATTCTTAGAAGTAAAATGTTAAGCTTCTCATCCTACATTACACGAGGTCTGCGATGTCTTATTTATTATATGAGGAGAGACGTATTTATTTAAACTTATAAAGCATGGTACAGTCAAGCGTACATCGTTCGTTGTATTAGCACAGTATTATGTTAAATGAATGCCATAATGTATCAAAATGGATTTGTATTATTTTCCGTTAATCACAAAACGGTCTATTCTGTTATCATGAGTTATTTTTTATGGATTACATATAATTTGTACATTATATTTAGCATTATTGATGTATTTGGCGACATTATTGTATTTGATTTGCATGTACAGTTTACATTTTGTGTGTCGAGATTTTTTTAATTATTATTTTGTAATATAAATATAGCACATTATTTACAATACCAACTATCGTATTTTTATTTAGACACCTTTATACATGCTGAAATAAAGTCTTTGAAATTGATTAATTTTTTAGCAATTTGAATTTAGAAAGACTATGAAAATAATAATTTCACGATCTTATTACAAAAAGGTATACTTTGAGCCAGAAAAGGTAATATTAAATAAAACATTTTAACGGTTTAAAATGGGATTAGTAACATTAGTTAAACTTATTGGAAATTAATTTAATTATTTAAATGATTAATAAAAAATATAATTGTTAAAATTATGTAACTAATATATATCGCGATTAAACCTATTACACGCGTATACTACAGTATTTACAAATTACGGTATTGACAAAGAAACGAAGATTTTTTATGTTTTACTGGTATGTCAACCTCCTTTTGAGGAAGGCTTTCCCTTTTGGGGACAAAACGGTAATCTTTGACGAACCCATGACTGATTGTTATTTGCCATATATTGCTACACTTAGATCAACTTCAGATATCCTTGTAAGATACTCTGGAAATGTGTTAAGTGGAATTTGTAATCATTAGGATACTTAATATTCTACTCGTTGCGCAAGCGCTAAGGACGAAATGATAAGAGCACAATAACTCAGTCCTAATACTGTTTATCAGCGACTGAACAGCAGGATACATTCGCAGCAGGATAGTTCTATCTTGCCAATAGTAGTATATATACGTTCGCAAATGCTTAGTGTAAGGATGCAAACTCTAGCAAAATGTTAACCGCGTTTTCGTTTCTTCTTGTCCCTTGCATGTGTCTACCGTTATTACGCGAAAATCAATTTGAAGTGCAAGATGATTTTAATGGTACGGATTGGTTTTAGTATTTCTCATATGTGTTCTTGTATTACGTATTTTATTTAGTTCAATATCTGTTCAAAAATTATATTGTAGGACTTTGTGATAGTCATTATGAAGTTGGCATTTGTTATATCGTTCTAATACGTAGGCACTTAGGGATTTGATTTTTAAGACGGCCTCGTTAGTCTAAAGGTACCTGTGTACGTGGGTTCGATTCCCACCATGTTTTTAATCAATTTAAAAGCTTTCGGAAATATGTTGGATTTTGTCTGGTAATCTGAATATTAAATGGGTGGTAGGTATATCGATTTCTGGGTCACCACCCATCCGTCCACAGTTGAGATGTTATGTGGCTGGGGTATTATTTATTTAGATTAGGTGCACCTCACGCTTGTCTATACTTTTCTATCATATAAAATAAGACATTAGTCCTATAATTAAAACCTAGTAAGAAGTATGTAGTCCTGTCTATAGTTTACGCGAGTAGTACACATATTTTGGTGAGTGGTGGGAGACGGGGAGTCTCCCCGTCTCCCCGTGACCACGGCTGCTGCAAAGCATCCGAAACGTCGGGCCGAAGTTAAAAATAATTTTCAAATAAGTTTAACTAATATATCGCGTTTTAAACCGTTAAAGTGTTTTATTTAAAAGTATGTAGTCACTTTTTTCGTATATACAACAGTTTTTTGTTTATTTTAAGAAACCCAATATAATTGAATAGATTATTTTTTTCTAATTGAGCTCCTGTCAATTGGTAAAACAACAGCACGGCCCACGGGTGGCATGGCGGATCGTCCACCCATTTTAATATTTTTCTTTATGATAGAGGGGGACAGATAAGCTTGGGGATGCTGTGTCTGTCCTATCTTCTCAGGTGAAAAACCTCACACATATAACATCTAAACATGACGCGCTGTTCACTTATTTTGGCTTCGGAACACGGAAATTAACGGCGGTTAAACTTGACGACTTTATCATCTGTGGACGGTGTTTCGTGTGTCAAATAGCATTACTATCATTATTAAAATAATTGTCTCTACATAGATTCTGAATTCGGCGAATACTTCGAGGGGGATATGGTATTGAGTACTTCACAAATTCAGGATATCAGAACAGCGAAGCAAGTACGCAATGGCCTTCGAGAAGGCACAAAACGATGGCCAAACCAGACCGTTGTTTATTATTTTGCAGAGGGCGACTTTGGTTTGTATAACATCTGTTTATTGATAATTTCGACAATTCACAAACAATACAAACCCAATATTGTTTTTGTGAACTGTCAAACTTACAATGCGTACTCTATTGAATGGCCGCTCCTTGCATCGATGGTTAGACGGATTGTCTAGGATTGCTTTACGTCATAGAGGTCGTAGGATCGAATCTAGGGTAAAGTTAGGGAAACGCTTGCAAATACCATTAGTCAAACAGATTCACAAATTCCGTTACCTCACGTATTCTTATCAAGTTAAAAGTATTTAACCACTTTAACGGTTTAAAACGCTATTGAAATGGTGGTCGCGGGGAATTTACGGCTCCCCATGACATTCATACGTAACGTCGGGCCGTAAAAATAATTTTCAAATAAGTTTAATTAAGACTTTCACTAAATTAAAGTCACTCTTAAACCGTTAGTGTTTTATTTTAATATTGACAACTGGCGTAGATTACAGACAGTATTTAAGTTAAAAATATACATATGATTTCACGAATTTCTGAAACTATTTATTTTTGACTGAGATTTCAACTCTCAACGCAACATACTTAATTTCCCTCGATATCGGTTACTGTTATAGACTTTGCAAAACTTGTAAAGAAGTAATCGTATCATTGACCGTCTATTTTGCAATCCTTATCTCAGACGAAGATCAAATAAAGATGATCGAAGAGGGAATGGCAGATATCGCGAATAAGTCATGCATAAAATTCGCAGAGCGGATAAAAGACGAACACGCATTGAGGATTCAGGTAAAACCATTAAAAATAACAAAAACGTCTACAGCTAATTTGACAACTAGTAGTATGACTCAGTCTTTTGTTTTTTATTAACATAATTATACTCATGTTAATAAATAATAAAATAAAAAATAATAAAAGAGAACCTCATACTTGTCCACTATTTTAAAAAACGTTTTCCTCATCCGAATTTATCGAATGTTTTTTCCTGTTCAGGGGTCATCAAGTGGTTGTTATTCGAGTGTGGGATACACGACAGAAGACACAGACGAGGATGATGAACCGGCGCAGGTATTAAATCTTGCTAAACGTTGCTTCAAACATGGTACTGTGGTACACGAAATGCTGCATACACTAGGGTTTTATCATATGCAAAGTACATATGACAGAGACGAGTTTGTGGAAATCATTTGGGATAATATAAAATCTGGTTTGTTATATTCTGTTACTATCTTATTTTAATTAATATTAAACATATAAATACATATGAGGCCGCTAGAGGCAGAGTAGCCAAACCGAAATTTTATCATTTGAGTTATTTATATTTTTATAGTAAAAAAATGTTAATCTAAAAGAGCACAGTGACCGAAAATTATTAAGATAATTATTACATAAATAATAGCACAAATTATATCATTGTTTTTCGGGCTGTTCGGCCGACGTGAGCGAGAAGAGGATCTCGACGTTTCGCCATCATGTGCGAACGGCATCATCAGGAGATGTTAACTTTTTATTTTCCTCCTTATTGGAAATTATGAGATCGGTAGCTAAATTAAAATACATGTATATATAGTTTGTTTATAGATATTTATATATACGTAACTTTTGTGTATAGGTCACGAACATAACTTCGAAAAGTACAACAACGATACTGTAACAGATTTTGGAATCCCATACGACTACGGAAGTGTCATGCACTATCCAAGTGTTGCGTTCTCCAAAAATGGAAACAAGACAATAGTTCCATTGCAGGTAATTCCATGTTATTAAAATATTGTAGGATAATAATAATAATAAAAACTCTTTATTGCACAAACATAGACATATGAACGTAGATACTTAGGATAGTCCCCGGAATAGAAGCTTGAGGTGATTTGAATAGATAATCTCACTGGCAGATCGAGCTTTACCAGCAGAGTAGCGCTAATATACACTCTACACCAGTCAAAGAAGTTAATTTAAAAATTAAAAAGAAATACGACAGGGGCGGGCCCCGTGTTGTATTTTATAACTTGCTTGAACTTACTTGAACCGGAATCCATAAGGTTCTGTGCTGCTGATGTGAAAGCCGGCAAGTCCTTTTCTTATCGTTAATTCTGATTATTTATTTATATAATGTGCAAAATTATAAGTTCTCAAAAGTGTTATTCATATACTGTAGCGTGATATTTCTATTTTGCAGGAAAACGCAAAGATAGGACAAAGAAAGGGCATGTCAGAAAGCGATGTTATTAAACTAAACAAAATGTATTGCGATACACCTGACAAGGACTTAGATACCGAGAATGATTATTTCTAATAAAACGTAATAAGTACTTGGTTGATTTTTTCATCTGATCTGTAATACAAACCAAGGCCGTATAATAATACACCTGATAAATTTTGCAACGGAAAATTGCATTAGTGTAAGCTTACATTTTTTCTGCTCTTATACAAATCACTCGTTTAATTTGCCAATTTAGGGTGAAAGCGTGACTGCTGCCGATAAATATTGCAACGACCTGTTCTTGATTCTCGTTAGAAATATGAAAAATTGCTGTTAATAAGATCGAGAGAAAACAAGATTGGCATAATATTGTTGACTAGTTTTAAGTTAACAAGATTTTAATTAAAGCGAGAATTTTACTATAAGAAAGTTATACTGACGGTCTTCGTCTGATTTTAAAACTGATCTTTAATGATGGAGTATTAAATCTATAAGTATCTGATCTAACTTCTGTGCCCTGTCCGCGATGAACTATAGGTATAATTTCTTCAGGATTAGAATACACAGCCTCTCGTCCTTAACGCAATGCTAGGCGATACATTTTAGCACTGATTTTGATTTAGATTTTTATATCAGTGTTAAGCTTTGAGTTCAAACATTAGAGAGCGGTTGAATTTCGTAAACATTTTTACTTTAAGATAATTCTTGCACTGCTAAGATGAAGATCATCTTCATTTCAATAAATATAAAAATACGTGCGGCAATTGGCTTATGTAATACTGGATAAGGTGTTTTAAGATATTAGTTAAAGGTAGTCGTCAGTTGATTAATATTACTTTGTATGTTGACACTTTCTCGAAAGAGGCGATTTAGATTCACTGTCACACAGACAGTCTCGAGAAACGTCGGGCCGCAGTAATAATTATTTTCAAAAGTTTAACTACAATATTTCGCGTTTTAAACCGTTAAAGTGTTTTATTTAAATATGCACCATTCGCGTAAACTACCGACAGTACTTAAGGACGATAGAGTCTTATTTTTTTATTACTAAGTGGATACATGGAGGAAGAAGAGGAATGTAGTCTGTGCATTGGACTGTAGAGTATCTTTCTTGGACATTCAAGGTCCCGGTACCAGAGCAAGTGATGCAGAGAATTTGGCAATTAACTCTTGCACGGTAGGCGTATGCCGTTCGCGTCACGGAACAGCCGCTGACGCAAGTCGCTGCAGTAGCGCGCTAACAGCTTGTGAAATGGTTGTATCCAAAGCTATATTAATTCCAGACCCACCTCGATGGGTTTTGTTGGCAAAAAATACGCGGTGACGTGCATTTTTTTGGCCAAATTCCGCGATCGAAAGACTTATGCGATAAGTTGTTCGTATACCGTTAATATGACATACTTTTCCCCAAAACCAGCGCTCCGCAAAAGCTTATAGCAGAACAATTTTATTAATCTATTTCGTATTTTAATACGGAACACAATGAAGTGTTTATATTTGACATTTTTGTGTGTTCTCTCGGTGAAGTGTACGTCGATGTCGGAGAGTGAAATCGAAGATTTTGCGAACTTTTTACAGGAGACTTCGCATTTGGATCAAAATTTGAAAAGTAAGTCAGCAACTAAGTAACTAAGCATTTGTAACAAAGTTCTCTTTGAACTCGGTAGATTATTTTTACTTATGACACAGTTGTATTAAATACTTATCGGTTTAAAATGCGAAATGTTAACTTATTTACAATTTATTTCGGAAGCAGCAACCGCGGTGGGAAACGTCGAAACGTCGGGTCATAGTAAAAATAAATAGTAAATAAGTTACCTTATAAATGTTATTTATTTTATTTATTTATTAGAAACCAATCACACATCTTTACAGAATATGAAATTTCGCGTTTTAAACCATATACAAGTTTTTTTATTCAAATGTGTAAGTAGTATTTGCGTCAACTACAGACTTATTATACAGATAAACTTATTCCGTTGAATTAAACATTTCTTGTTAAAATTTAAATAATAGTCATAATAATAATATATCGATATATTTCCAATCGTGTTTAGATAATATTTTTCTTTTAACATGCATAATACAATTACTTATGTTTTAATGTGTAGTCTTTTCCTAAAGGGGTTCCAAAGAATAGGAATTAATTTCAAACTATTAAGTTCAATGTATGGTACATCACTTTTTTTAACATTTCTAGGCCAAGATCCTGAAGAGTATGACGAAGATGAACCAGCTTCCGATAACGCTTGGGAAGAGAGTGGCAAATTCGAGGGAGACCTCATCTTAAATGACCGACAACGGCGAATGATCGTAACTAATGTAGTCGAAGGACTCGCTCGAAATGGACTTACGGACAGCACAAAGCGTTGGCCCAACAACGAAGTTATTTACTTTATACAAAGGGAGCACTTCAGTAAGTAGAGTTAAATACTTGTCACGGTTAAAACGCGGAACATGTGACTTTCATAAACTCGGCTGCTCTAAAGAATTATATTATAGATACAGAAATTAACTAATATATGTCGCGTTTAAAACAGTTTTTTTAATAAGTGTGTTCCGTTGTTTTTCAATGGTCATACTAAATGTTTTTGAGAAAGTTAGTAGTTATAGGAGAAAATGTTATATTTTTGAGTAGATTTTAATCTTTCAACTCTTAAATTAAAAGGAAGAATATCGGAGTAATATAACAAATAGTTTCGCTCAATTACAATCAAATCTATGCTTCAATAAAACCCCAAAGTACCTATGTCCGTTCCACGAGAAAAAGCGTGTTTTATTTACATTCTTTAAGCTAGTAATCAAATTTTTAAAAAGATATTTTGATCGAAACTTACTAATAACTAACTATTTAAACTATACAAAATAATAATAATAACAACCCATCAAAACAAAAAAAAATAGAAAAAGGAAAGTTCAATTTAGGAAGAATAACATGGTAAGGACAGAAAATGTTTATATAACAAACTTTTGAAAGAAGTTAAGGCTAATCGGACGGAGTTTGGTAAAGAGTTCCAAAGTTTTATAAATATTCTAAAACAACTGAGAATATCAAGCTAAATTATATCAGTATATAATTTACCTAGATTGCAATTAAAAACTTCACGTTTTAATTACAGATTTAGATCAAGTACAAGCAATTCAAGAAGGTATAGATGATTTAGCCCGAGCGTCTTGTATTAAATTTACTCCTTATAAGAAAGGGGACCGGGATGCTGTTGTTATTCAAGTAAGGAAATAATTATAATATTATATTAAATATTACATTATAGAGAAAATATTCTGAACGGTATCTTCAATGACGCCATTTAACTTGAAAATGTCTTTGCAAATACAGTGTAACATTGTATTTTTGGAATTTGTCATTTTTTGTAAACAAACACACAATTTACACGAAATTGTGATTTCCTAAAAAGTTTTACATTGATTTACAATAAATACACTTTAAGGCACTTACTTATCATATATTAAACTAATATTATAAATTAATATAGTAAATAGATAGATTAAAACTTATTTCTCATCTGTGGCATCATTCTATAAAAGGATCTCTATGGTTCCAAATCGGCCATATTTGTTGAGGTCTATTCTCATGTTGAAAAAATAAACTAAGAATTTTAATAATGTAGGTAGATTAAAAAAAACGATTTAAACAAATTGTGTAATAAATAAAGCTTGTATGAATTTAAATGACATCCTACAGGGAAGTAGACGTGGTTGTTTCTCCCAAGTGGGCTACCAAGGAGGTTATCAGGTCCTGAACTTATCTGGTCGACATCCAGTCGGCCGCGGCTGCTTCCGACATGGCACAGTAGTACATGAACTTCTTCATACCCTCGGCTTCTACCATATGCAGAGCAGCCCCGACAGAGACGACTACATCAACGTAATGTGGGAGAACATTATAGAAGGTGATCTATTGTTTCCACAGCTCCCACATAGAATTATAGACTAACGGGTCAAATGCTAATACCACCGGTTCACTTGGATCTAGGTTATTGTGTCAGTGATACGATGTCTATAAGAATTCTATTTGTTTAGCATACTAATATGTTTTCTATTACCTATTTTGTTTGAGAAAATTAACGCCTACATAAATATACAATTAGAGCTCATTTATATGAATTGTATTGGTATTTTCAAGCAATAGTAGAGTTATTAGTATTTTTCTTGTTTCTTTGTGATTAATTCATCTAATTGCATCACAAGGCCCAGAATTCGAACGAACTGTTAGTTAGGTATTTGGTAGTTTTATTTTATTTCGAATTTTGGCAGTGTCTTGTACCTACAGCATTTTTGCTGTCATTCGAAGTTATCATGTCAGATTAGTGGCCGTAATCCTTAATTCGGTAATACCCAATTACGGATTACGGGCACCATACTTTGACTCGTTGGTCTAATGGTAGCAATGCATGGCTAATAATCAATGGATCGTGGGTCTGATCCCCACCGAGTCCAACATGTTTATAATTTTTCTGGATATTGAATGGGTGGTACGAATATAGAAATTCCGCCCGGATCACGAACCACCGTCCACAGATGAAAAAGCCGTCTGTGGATTTCCGAATATCCAAAAAATAGGTCGACGGCGCATCTTGTTTAGATGCTACAGGCTGGGGTATTTTACCTACCATAGAGTAACCCCACGCTTGTCTTGGTGATCCAGGGCGTGGTGGGTCGTAGTCTTAAACGTTCTCTTTAATGCAATATGAGACCTGTGCTCAGCTATGTGGTATACCTATATGGTGTGATATTTTATTATATGTGGTAGGTAGGCTTTCATATTATCCTCAACTGTTACAGCGGCGAGACACAATTTTCGCAAGTACAACTCGTTTGCTGTGTCCGATTTCGGCGTGGGTTACGACTATGAAAGTGTACTGCACTATAGCCGAAAAGCTTTCTCCGTCAACGGACAAGACACTCTCGTCCCAAAACAGGTGATACTAAGGAACGTCTATAAATATTTTATAAATCAATTAGTTTAAAATAAATAATAATTGGTTATTCGTGTTTAATGCTATCAACATTTATTATTTGTTTGTCTGTCTGTCCTTTACGACATAATTAAGCCACCAATTGACTTGATTCTTTCAGTATCCAAAATGAGGTCTATGTACTTTATTAGATTTTTTAAATAAAACACTAACGGCTTAAAACGCGATATATTCGTTAAACTTATTTGAAAATGATTTTTAACTTCGGCCCGACGTTTCGGATGCATTGCAGCAGCCGTGGTCAAAGGGAGAGTAGATTTTTTTGTGCAACTACTATGCGAGTGAAGCAAAAAGTACTTTATATTATAGGGGTTTATTTGTTTATCGTTGATGAAGTAATTAAGATCACTTCCGAATTTCAGAGCGGAGCAGGCATTGGCCAAAGAGTTGGTTTATCTCAGAAGGATACACAGAAGCTGAATAAAATGTACTGTGATGCTGATTCAGACGTATTCTTAGATAGTGATTCATCTAAGCCACCTACCGTTAAAAAGAAGACAGGTAAAAACAAACCATTCCAAGGCCACGGTATTGGGTATCATCAAGGTAAAGCAGTGGCAATTCAACTACCTGACGCACAAACATTCAATTTGCACGACATTTCAACCATTGATAAGTTAAATGATTTTAGTGGAACCGAAGAAACCAGTGTGTCTCAGTTGCCTTTTCAAGGATTTGGAGTTGCTAAAAAGATAAACGATGTAAATCAAAATGAAGATCTTCAAGGTTTGTTACACAGGTTTTCCGATGTAATTAAAAATGACATGAAACCAACAGACGCCAGAAAATTTGATTATGATCAAAATAATCACATGCAGGTGAAACCAGCACTTGTTTTGCAACCACATATTGGACACGAAGCTAATCCAGACTATATTGATATGACTAAAGCTGTTCCGCAATTTAGTGATAGTGAACGTGAAAGAAAGCACAAAGAAAATATGTATAATGAAAAAACAAGTGCGCACTTTGATTTTCCACGTGACAAAGAACAAAGGCATAGTGAAATACCAAAATTATTATCAGTTCCACACTTTAGCGACAGTGACTATAGAGAAAAACATAAAGAAAATGGGTATAACAAAGAAAGAACTATCGGGCATTACGAGTCTCCGCGTGATATAGAACAAACACATAGATACAATATTGAAAAGGTTCAGAATCCTTATAATAAAGATGCTTTAACACAGAAAGGACCCTCTCTGTATAGCTCTGACACATTTACTGGAAGAGATAGCAACGATACACCTTATAAAGAATCAACACTTTATGATGATATTCCTAACAGTTACAGAGGAAATATCAATTATCCACGAAAACAATTAACATCTCTTCGATTCATCTCGCCCTACAAAAGTCAGAACCAACCATATAATTATAAGCAACCTGTATATTTAGATAATAGATAATTTAGACTAACCACATACTATGTATTGTAAAAATGTAGACCTAAAGTAAATAAAGTTATAGTTACTAAATAATAAATATATGTGAATACTCAATAATATGTTTTTTAATCTTTTTGATGAATATTTAACGTCTTACCTAAAATATTATAATAAAATAATCTTGGTTTAAAACAATTTTGCTGCATAGAATATAAAAAATCTCCAGTCGCGCTGTTTTGTACCTGTGGCCTAAGCTGTGGTCAACACTCAAATGTATTAGTGTCAAAATCAAGTGAAACGTCAAATCGATTTTCATCAATGAGTGTTTTAAATGTGTCATAATTTAAAAATATAAAATAATTTGTTGTTAGTTGTTACATATTTGTAAGTCATAATATTTAACGGAGTAATTTTCCAGATAATTAATTGAGACAAACAATCGAAGGCTTAGTCAACTCTTTATCATGTATTAAAGAAAAATTGATTGTGATGTTCCATACGAGGTGACACTTCAAGAATTTAATTTAATTTCCTGTTCAATAATATTTAATGGGCTGCGCTGCGTCGGGTGTAAACCGCACAATAATGATGTTTAGTCGAAGTACTCATACTTCTAATGAATACCGAGCTATATTGGAAAGAAAACTTTATATAGCAAGAGAATCACCGGAACCAGACTTTGACTTATCAGAATGTAATCTTCGATATTTACCTCCAGGAATATTTTCGATATGCAAGGTGTTTCGTAAAGATTATCTGTATTTACAAGTCAACAAATTAAAATCATTGGAAGAAGGAGGCCAGTTATCCGATCTACATTTAATAAAAACATTGGATTTGAGTAAGAATAATTTCGTACAAATTCCAAAAGGCATACGCTTTTTAATGAGTCTCACAGAACTTTATCTACAAGATAATCAAATAAGTCATTTACCAGACGAAATAAAATTTTTGCAAGCACTAAAAATATTAGACGTGTCAAGGAATCACTTAAAACAACTGAACCCTCGACTAGGTGACTTACAGTGTTTACGGAAACTTATAGTTGTAGGTAATAAAAATTTAAGGGAGATATGTGTGGAATTGTGTCAAGCTAGAAATTTGTTTTTGATTGAATTGGATAGTGATCAATTTATTACACCACCTTTTGAAATAACTGTACAGGGGACTGAAGCAATAATGAAATACCTCTGTCATAAAGCTAATATAGAGTATATTCCACCGCTGCCTTTGGACGCTGACAATATGTTGCCAACCTATGAATCAAACCAGGGCCTTGATCTTTTTACTAAGCAAAAAATTACTTGGGAAGAACAAGAAAGTACCATACAACAAAAGGAACTTGAGATTCACAAAGCCAATCAAGAGCAAAGAGAAAAGTTTCTGTCTGGTGTTTTGCAAGATCAATTAAATTTAGATATAGAAATTGCTAGGGTACAAGTTGATAAGGAAGTAGAAAGACAAAAATTGATACAGACTATACAAAGCGAAGAGCAAAACATAGAATGCCTAATTAAAAGTTTTATAGGTCATGATAAACTGCAACCTGAAATTATTCAGCAACAACTGGCACATGAGCAGTTGGAACATGAACACATACTAGAGATAACACGACAAAACTATGACAATGTTAAGAAATGTGATATTTTAAAAGCAATGGAACAACTCTTAGAGGAAAACTATTCAGTCGGTAAATACATGAAATACTACAAGGATAATTTGAATAATGTGAAACAAACTCTCTTGTTCCATGAAACTGAAGTGGATGAGAAGCTGCATCAATTGCTTAGTGCTAAAGAAGAAGCTAGAGAAGCACTTGTACAGAAACTATTAGAAGATCAAGATGTTCAAAAAGCTATGGTTTCATCACTACTTGACCAAGTTGATGCCAGAAGCTGGAGTTTGAATCAAGAGATTACTTTAATTTCATCTCATCTGGCTAAGTTGAGTGTGATTGAACAGGAAAAGAAGAAAATGCATATTTTTTACAACTATAACGACCTGTTGCATCAGAGAGTTCAGTTGCTTAATTTACTAGATGATCTGTTTGACCAGAAAAATAAAAGGCGGAAACAGTTAATTGATACATTATATGAGGCAGAAAATGAAAATAATAGCGAGGAAGATTTTTGGTTGAGAAGTTACAAGAAGTTGTTGGATTCAGCACCAAAATCTCTACTTACCATTGATAAAACATTAGACCCACTTCTTGCAAAGTACCTTTTGGAACAAGGTGTTATTCATTGCTTACCTTTTTTGGTGAAATTCTTATTTTCTGAGAAGTCATTATTAAATCTTTCTTACCAAGATTTAAAAGAGAGCGGCGTGTCTTTGAGGATAGATCGTGAAAATATTATTAGAGCAATCAATAAGTATGTTGAATGTAAAAACGGAAACAATAATGTTAAATTTGATACTGTGCCAGAACCAAGCGCTCCTTCTTTACCTTCAGATGATGTACAATTGGGAGTGGTGAATAAAGAACATGCAGACAATTTATCAGAAGATGCAGAATGTGTTATTTGTATGGAAACCAAGTCGGAGGTAGTGTTTGTGCCTTGCGGCCATATGTGCTGCTGTCAACGTTGTTCACAAAAAGATATCACCAGCTGTCCTATGTGCAGAACAGAAATAGAACGAATTATCAAAGTTTTAATAGCTTGATGGTCTATTTAGAGTTGTATTCTAAATATTGTTGTGAAAATTGAACGCAAATTTTTGTTATATAGTATTTAATTTAGCACAAAGTATGTTTTATTGTGATTGTTAATTTTTTGTACATGTACCCACCCAAAAGCAATTTTACTGCACAATTTTATGATATTTCCTTTATTTAATGACAACCAAGCAACAATCAAAAATTAAGATTCTTGACAATTTTTGTCGTTGGTTGGGTATAACTCCTTTCACCTTGTCGTTTCCTGTGTTGTACTCTGTATCACAGAATTAGGACTGTATTGGCTGTGAAACTATCTCTTAAGATATTAATGTGGTCATCAATTTGCTAAGTCATTTGAAAAGTCTATTCATTGTTACTAAATTATATTAAGAAGCTGTTATACTTGTACATGAACAGTAAAATGTCATAATCTGGATGCTCGTGCTTTTATTTTGAAAGTTTCTCTTCTACATTCATATTTATTTATTAATGTATTTTGTATAGTTATAATATAATAATCTAGCAATTTAAGCTGTTCTGAGTACTCAAAATGTATTTATTGATAGTCGTTTGTATTAGTAATTAGACCAAAAAACAGTGGTTTGCCCCACTTTTGTATCACCAACTGTGTTTAACCTATCCACATACTCATTTAGTCTTGATATGCATAATGGACCACCGTATTATATATTAAATGTAAGTTAAATTTATAAAAATGTATTATACTGTGATGTTATTGTTTAAAAACATGAAAATGGCTTAGCTCTAAGAATCGAATCAGTTTTTTTAACTCCGGGGTAATATTGTAAATTGTTTCTGAAAGTGTGATCCTATACATCTGTAAAAAAAAATCTAAAAAGATTTGCGCTACACCCCGCGTCATTTTGGTCACATCGAATGTTTTCACTGTTTTGTGCACTGCCTGTAAGAGTTAATCAATTTTAAATGTTAAATACCCAGTTGTTGGTTTTTAAATAAGACACAAATGTACACAAGCTTTACTTTTAATAATAATTATAAAATATCACGAATAAATGAATTTTCAATTCTATGTTTTTTTAAGTACGCAACGATTACATAAGAATACCACCCGACTTACATTTATATATTAATTATTTTTTGAGAATATTTAGAAAAAGGTAATTTTGTACGTACAAATTATTATTTAAATAATTGATACACAAGTATAGGTGAATTTTTTCATAGTTATATCTTTTTATACTTGACAAATATTAAGCATAACCTTGGTGTATTTACAATTAAAACCAGCTGGTTGTATGTATTTAAAAATGTCTAATTACGTACATGTTGGATAGAAGTGATCAAATTCACAATCAAATCGTGTATATTAATAAATATTCTTAGTTAAAAATACAGACGAAACTAATAATGTCGTTAATGTTTGAGGACCACCAATTTGCCGCCGTGCATTGTTGGGCGTCTTAAAATGAAGCTATGCACAAAGAGTAGTTTTAAAGTAATCAAGCATGTTAAGTTAGGTCCCATTTATGTATTGCAGTTATCTCAACAAAAGATAATTAAGTCAAAATATTAAACAAGTAATTAGCAAACATAAGTATAATGTACAGAAAGCTACTTATTCTGCTCTCTTTTACCTGTGTTACTAATTAAGAGACCTTATGAATATGGATGATTTTTGTCCCCATAGATTTGCCCCTTTTCAGCTTTCTGTGATAAATTAGTTTGTAACGTGAGTTGGTTATATTTTAGGTACCTATGTCAACACAGTTTAAAAATGATAACGTCATAAAGATTTATGATGTACTGAATGTACAAGACGATGAGGTTTTTATCTATACTAATACATAAAACTGAAGAGTTTGTTTGTTTGAATGCGCTAATTTCTGGAAGTATTGGTTGGAATTGAAAAATCTTCTTGTTTATTAGAGCATTTATTGAGGAAGGTTATAAAGCATCGTGCTGTGAGTAATAGGAGCGAAGAAACAGCGGGGAATGTAAAAAAAAGGTTTTCGATAACAAATTTGAATGTCCAAATAACTATTCTACGCCGACGGAGTCGCTCACACTGCTAGTAAAGAGATATTGATAGTAGAAGTAATGACAATGGTATGCAATATAATTACCTATATCGCTGGTGTAATGTAACGTATGGCTAATAATCAAGGGGTCGTGAGTTATATCGCCAACGAGTGCAACATGCTTCTAATCAATTTATAATTTTTCTGACACATGTGGGACTTTGTCTGATAATCTGGATATTAAATTGGTGGTAGGAATATGGAAGTTTTCTTCGGTTCACGGTCCACCGTCCACAGATGAAATAGATGTCAGGTTTAATCGGGTTACAGTCTGTGGAATTCCGAATATCCAGACAGTATGTAGGAATGTTAGTAAACTGGCTCGTCACTAGTAATGTATTGATAAAAATTAACGGAACGGGGACGCGATCACTCTCGGGTCTTTATGTTTCTCATGATTTTTAACAATTTGTAATTATTCTGAGTAAGAATAAACTTCGTCTGGTAAATCTTAATAATGAAATAAGTAAGTAATATATTCACAAATGAAAAAGCCAAGTTTAATCGCGTGGTGGCCGTTTTACCTAAGCTTTAAGGTCAAAATCGGTCAACAAAACGTTTTGTTTAGATGTGATACGGCCGGGGTTTACATCCCACCAAGCGAGTCGCATGCTTGTCTGTTATCCTAAAACAAACAATTTATGGTTTCGATTTGTAAGTTCGGGGAACATGGATCAGACGCATTTCTGTTCCTGTTTCAATGATCGCTTTTATTTTCTCACAATTAGTTGGCAGTTTTGTCCTGCTCGACCGAAACTATTTCTGTCTCCGCGGGGAGCGTAGAGCCCCCGTGCTTAACGCCATTTTACGCTACGCTACCTTTGAGCTATAGAGCTTGATATAGTTGCGTATAAAAATAACTTTATCATGTAATGCTTCATGTAAAACTTAACAATCTACCTTAGATTGAAAACAGGTAGCACTTGAACCTTGTAAGTAAATACTGTCTGTAGTTTACGCGAGTAGTATACATTTAAATAAAACCCTTTAACGGTTTAAAACGCGATTTCTATTTGTTAAGCTTATTTGATTTTTTTTATTATGGCTTATTATTTATAACCCATATATACCCATTAAAAAATATAAAGAGGTAAAAATCTTACTACTAAATACTGTCTATAGTTTACGCTACGTTAAAATGTTTTATTTTAATCTTACTACTAACGTATAAAAGGTGGCCTTATCTCTAAGCAGCGACCTCTTCCAGGCAACCTGAAGTATAGGAGATTAGAAATAGAAAAAGACTATTATTTTAATTACGGGCTGACGTTTCGAATGCTTTGCGGATGGTGCATAGTTTTAAACCGTTAAGTGTTTTATCTATTATAAGTATTTTAAATATCGCATTTTCAACCGTTAAAAGTGTTTTATTTAAAATTTTCTCGCAAACTCTTAGGTTGAAATTCACGTACCTAAAGCATATAAACAGCACTCGCAGAACGTCTAATTTAATTTGTCACGTAGGAGAAAAATAATATTTCGTGGCTTTTCTTGGCTTCCACTTCGCGTTGAAATGAGAATTCTACTTTGCATACTTCTTGGATACGTTTCAGCGCCACGTAAACAAGACGTGAAGGCCCATTCTTGAATATATAAGATAAATTATATTTTCTGCATGCTACGTCTTATTTTTGACACGTGCGAGTGGCTTGCATAAAACAATTTCAAACAAGCTGGAACGAGAACTATAATAGTTTAAAAACTTTAGGTAAGTTGTAAGGTATTTTGTTATAGTTTCAAGCTGTTTTAATTTTATTAGGTGGCAGATGCGAGAACAGCTTATCTATTAAATATTATTTTCGAAGTCCATGGAAATATCCTACTAATATTATAAACGTGAAAGTTTGTTTGTGTGGATGGATATTTGTTACTCTTTCACGCAAAAACTACTGAATGGATTTCAATTAAACTTTTCAATAATATTAGCTTATACATCAGAATAACACATAGGCTACAATTTATAAAGATATTGTGTGAGCTGTCCAAAATATGACATTAAGTGTTAAGTAACTAGGAAAAAACCTACCTTTCTGCTAACTATTCTGGCGTGAGTTGCCATAAACGTTAGCTACACATATTTATGTCATATTGTTAATTTCTTTTCTACGCCACGCTAATATACTCCAAATACTAATCCTGCGTAGACGAAGTCGAGAGCACCAGCTAGTAATCAATAGTTTTGAAAACACGTTGCCAGCGAATGACCTCTTTTAAAAATTGTAAGTTTTATATTTATTTGTTTGGTTTATCTGTACTATTTATTTCTTGGCAGTAACTTTTCACACAATACAATATTTTCGATCAAAAATATCCTTTTTTTTAAGGTAGAGAATCGAGGGCGAAGTAACCCAGCCATATAAAATCTCAACAAAATGCGTCGTCAATCTATTGTGGCTTTGAATATTCGAAAATCCACAGACTGAAAGCGCGACTTAACGTCTATAGCATTCCTACCACCTATTTCAGATCTCCAGACGAAGTCCAACATGTTTCCGAAAAATTATAACTAGACTAGAAACATGTGGAAAATACTGTCTATAGTTTACGCGAGTAGTACACATTTAAATAAAACACTTTAACGGCTTAAAACGCGAGATATTAATAAGTAAGAGTAATATATCGCGTGTTAAACCGTTAAAGTGTTTTATTTAAACATCTGGAAATCGGTGTGGGTCCAACCTAGGACTCGTTGATGAGTCGTGCATTGATTACACCAATGATAAAGATTTTATAAAGGTAATTATATTTGCATACCATTCACTGTAATTATAATTATAATCTTAAATATCTTTTAATACGTACCAAAATATATTTGTAAGTTTTTTACGTCTTGTATAATACGTGCTACCATTAGTCCAACGGGCCCGTGTCGATGATTGTTTTCAATCTGTAATCGACTTTAACATCAATCTTTTCAATATTACAGATGAACTTGCTTATCCTAA